GCTAATGACTGGAGCTGCAACAATTACTTGATTAATCAACAGAAAATTAATCAACAACTATTATGATAATCAGTTAATTGTTAAAGTCACCTTTTCAAGCAAAAATGCCAAACATTCTCTGATTCCAGCTTCTCAAATGGGAAAATTAGCTTTAACTCCTTGTCTTACATCATAGAATTGAATATATTTATATGTTTTACAAAAAAATGTATTGATTTATTGAGAAAATAATCTGCAGATTCATCAATAATAAAAGAACTGTTATTTGAAGCCCTAGTAATTAAATATAATAGTAATATTTTTAAAAAATAATTTAAAATGTTCAATGACTTGCACAATATCTGCTGTTGGAAAAAAAGCTAGAATATGAACTGTACGGGAAGATGAATAAATTAAAGGTTTCAGTCCCTGCAGTGCTCAACTGTCTGCAGAAACACTTTGACACATACTGTCTGACCCGCTGGAGTAGAGCTGCTTCATGGTGTCATACAAGCCAATGCGGATTGAGGCAAAGCTCATCTGTCTCTGCAGCCCTGCCACCAGCCCACTGTACAGACTCCTTGGGCCCTCAGTCTTCACCATGGTAAAGAGGGTGCCAAACACACCACTGTATTTCATCCTCTGGCCTTCCAGTGAGGACTTGGATTCCCCTTGAATCTAAGAAACACAAAAAACAACAGGTCACTGATGATGTTGTGGCCATGAACTAAGATTCTCAATAGTCTAGTGGGAGAACATTGCTATAATAACCAAATCAGTCTCTTATAAAAAACATTACATGACTATGGTTTCATTTTCATTTGTTACAAGTGCTACATTTCTGGTTTGACATGTAGAAACATGCACTCGTCCAAGTTCAAGCAGGGGTGTGGGCTATATGATTGAGGACATTTAGGACATGGAATTTGGACCCGAGGAGACATTTACATTGTACAAAAATTACACATGGTGAGTTTTTAAAGGCTGATTCTGATCATTATTTTAACATTTGGTTGTTTTTAGGCCAAAAGTCGCTGTAAAATGTAATTATTAAATTATATTAAAATCTAAGCTGTCTACCAAAATTATATTGTGTAAAGTCCTTTCAACACCATTTAGACCAAAAGGAAATTACATCAGTGACATCAGCATCCTCACTGACTTTATGTACAGTAGATGATCCTCACCTGCAGTCTGACTTTGGCTGTGTCCAGGGGGAAAGTGACAGGTCGGCCACACAGCCAGCTGCTCCAGCTGAAAAGATCTTGACAGCGACTGTTGGGACAAGATCTGCAGGTTTATCACCAACCATGATCAATGATGGTCACAGGGTCCAACAAAGTCAAAACCCATAAATCAGAAACAGAAAAGGCAGCTGGTTCAGTATCCAAATTAAAGGATTATACCCTCGAATGTAAATATTTAAGCAGGCAACTCATTATGTCCCTTCATGCCAGAATCAGATCGAGGTGAGCGCCACTGCAGTCAATGTCAAGTTTCAAATTTTTTTCTTTTGAAAGGCAAGTCCTCTTGTTGTGCCATTAGCCACAAAAAAACTACTAAATATCATGCCACAAAAAATAGAAGAAGAAGAAAAACACTGACACTATAACAGCCGGGTTCCTCAAATAACCGCACAGCAACACAAACACCAGACCGGAATACAAAGCCACGTTGCTGCTAGACTGAAGCCGCGGTGCTCATTGAGTCCGGCCTCTCCTGCACAACTATTGGCTAATGAAACGGAACTGCAGCTGCACCGCCCTGCATGAAAACGAGACACAATAAGTTGCTCAACAGGAGTCTGTTTTGGTTCATGATTCACCTGCTTTTGTACCACTGGGTGTTTTTTGTCTCAGGTGCAGTGATGAGCCCCGGGTCGACACTTTGTGTTGAAAAGAGGTGGGGACATAAGGGCTCAGATTAGGGGTGTGATGATACACTTGAGTCACGAGATATGATGATGGATGAGAACAACACGGGGAGATTTTTAATACTATTTTGAAGAAACGGGAAATGCACAAATATATGAGAGGGGGTCTGGGGGTCCTCCTGCAGAAAAGTGGAGCATTCATTTGCTGCAACATAGAGACATTTTCTGCGCCAATTTACGGTCTGAAAGAAATGTCTTTATTTATATAAAGGGGAAAAAATCAGCTGGCAGGCAACCACTCATAACTATAAATATATAAGTAATCTGTAGCTTGTTTTTTCTTAAAGTTACTTTTTTGGACAATGCACATTTGTTTCTTCTATATTTAAATTGCATTTCATGTTTTCTTGTTGTGCTAATTAGCCTAACCTATGTCAAAGCATTTTAATTTAATTTCTTTGTGCAATCTTTTTTTCAGATTTTTGTTTTTCAGAAATGCTTACAAATTCATTAATTTCATCATCATTTCAAAATGTAGTGGGACATGTGTAAATAACACTATGAATGAGCCCACTAAAAAGAGACTGACCTGGACAATCCCCCCTAACTTTATGGAAGTCGTCTCTCAAAAATTATGTGCATATTGTAACAGCCGAAATTGTGCCTTTAAGATTTTAAGATACTGTGCTGCCTACATAAGAATGGCCTCCTGTGAATGGATGCTTGCTGCTGAGCTCCTGTTATTGTGGGACTTCTGTTTTACTCATGCATGATAAGACAGTAGCCGTACAGCCAGCTTGATAATGTTGATGTGTTCGTAGTACTATTGTGGAAATACCATTTCCAGCGTGGCTGTTTAAGTCGTCATTTCTCCACCTTCTCCAAGCTAACATAAGCTCAGCCAAGTCACAGTGGCCCCTAAACTTTGACTGATGTAATCATCATAACTTCCCTTATATTTGATCATGCTCAATCCTGTACAATGTAGCCGCTGACTAAATCAACCTTGGACCGGTTAATTATGGCATTGGTGCCCAGTTTGCTTTTGAATGAGCTCTTTGACTTGAGATCAAAGGAGTGTAAGATAACCAGAGGTGGAGGACCAGCCAAGGTCTAAAGAGAGAGAACAGCTTCCCATCGGTGTACATATTACAAACTAAGTTTGTCTTGTTGTGTACCTTGATTTGAACATTTAGGAGTGTGACACTACTGATTTTTCTCTCATTCCTTGGTGTCAAAATGGGATTACAAAATCGCCACGGCACATATCACAAGACACACAAAAACACAGCACACCATCCATGCAGACCTTTTGTTCTCTTCTATTAACCAAATTCATTTACATACAGTCAATGTATTTACATGTGCACAAATATCCTGGTTATGATTGGGTTTTTGGAGTATGCCTGTACACCACATCCTGGCTTCAGAAACCTGCATAAGGCCATATCCTGGATTTAGAAAATTAGATGACTCTGACAGAAACCAGGATACTGTTGAATGTAAACACCTTATCCTGGTTTCTGAGCATTCTCTGCAGGTACAGAATATATTGGCTGAGATTATGAGAATAATTCATAACTCAACTGCACACAGATAAGAAACCTGGAAAATGTTAGTTATGTAAACAGGGACATGTATAACCAGGTTTTTGATGTCCCATGTAAACATTGTATCTGGAATTTGATCCAAATCAGGATAGTAGAGCATGCAAACTCACACATAACCAGACAAACATAGAAAAGGATTAACATGCACTGATGTACAGTAGGCCTATCATTCTGCAGTGAGCCTGCAACACTCTAAATAGGCTATACTTACAAATTACTACATTAAAGTCAGCATTTTGAAACCTAATACATGTGCATCTGATAAAATTTGTAAAAATGATTCTCTAAATCATTTTATTCAAAAAGTAAAACTTTCATATTATTCCAGATTAATTAATTAATTAATTTTTTTAAATCTTGATTATTATAGCTTACAGCTCATGGAAACCTCTTTGTTGGGTTAAGTACACACAACAACAATCATCATGGGGAAGACTTCTGACTTGACAGTTATCTAGAAGACACTCACTGACACCCTCCACAAGGAGGGTAAGCCACAGATGGTCATTGCTGAAAGGGTTGGCTGTTTGCAGAGTACTGTATCAATTCATCAAAAGTTGACTGGAAGGTTTGTGTGGTAGGAAAAGGTGCACAAGCAACTGGGATGACTGCAGCCTTGAGCGATTGTCAAGAAAAGCCGATGCATGAACTTGCATCAACAGCCACCAGGCAAAGACATGTCCAGGAAATGAGCTACAAGTGTCACACTCCTAGCGTTATGCCACTCCTGAACCTGAGACGTCAGAAGCGTCTTACCTGGGCTAAGGAGAAAAATAATGCACCGTTGCGCAGTGGTCCAAGCTCTATGGAGATGCTGATTTCCTTTTCCAGCTCGACTTGGCACCTGCCCACACTGCCAAAATGACGAGACTGGTTTGCTGAACATGACATTGTGTGTGACCAGCCAACTTGCCTGACCTGAACCCCATAGATAATCTGTGGGGTATAAGAGGAAAATGAGACACCAGACCAACAATATAGACGAGCTGAAGGCCGCTATCAAAGCAACCTGGGCTTCCATAACACCTCAGCAGCGCTACAGGCTCCATGCCACTCCACACTGATGCGGCAATTCATGCAAAAGTAGCCCCGACCACGTGTCCCTCCAGAGGGATCTACTTCAATAATGATGCAACTTCTCACAAAACACACGGTTCGGATCGATCCGTAGTTTTGTGGGTTAAATTCATTTTAAAATGCGCTACTTTGGCTCTGATCCAGCTGCCCTCTCTGTCTGTAATCACCAGGCTGGAGTCGCTTAATGTCCCGCCCGCGGCACTGTATGATTAGTTACAAGTCGCGAAAAACAGCCTATGAAACATTTGCTCCGGTGAACGGCGGTTGTTGTTGTTGTTTAACACGTGTTGACTTCAGAAGCAAGTTTTCATGTATTTTTGAGTTATCTTGCAGACAGAAGTGTGCAGCACAGGTTCAAACAGTCAGGACATAAATCTTAACGCAGTCTGAGGCCTGTTCCAAGAAGCAGGTTCTGGTGTAACAAACAAAATCACATACATACACAAAATACAAAAAACACATCCAGTTAATATTTATTTATAAAAATACAAATGTTACATTTAATTTACATGATCTTTCCATGGTCTGAAAACATTGACTATTATAAATGTGATAATAACTGTTTAACACACAAAACCACCACGTAGGCTAACTACTGCTTGTCGTCAAAGTGAGCTGCAAATATTTTTGCTATTCTTTCAGTTTCTTTCTTCATGGATAATGGCGACATGTTGGGACGCTGTCGAGGACCTCTGAGATGTTGACTGCCGTGAACTGGAGAGCTTCTGCCCTGGAAAGATCAAAACAAAAACACACTTGCAGTGTGAGTCCTATAAAACTATGACCATAGGAATACTATTTTCTATTGAACTTAATAATTGGGACACACAAGGAGTGACTCATAACAAAAAACTAATTAGTCAGAAGACATTTTGTGTGTTTGAGGTGTGTGAACACACTCACCAATCAAACATAGCAAGCCTTTCTTTAACCTTCATGTTAATGCACAGACAGTTGTCTGTAGTACACAGTACAATCTGGAGATGAGCAACAAGTGACTAGTTTGAACCGGTTCTTTAACAGGTTCTTGCTGCAAACACAGACACATTACCTCCCACCTCAAAGTCCAGCACCTACATGTATGTGTGTTTTATCCACACCCTACTTGAAACTGGATCCATTAACACTGGTGTGACGCAGAAATACCTTTCCATCTCTACAGCTGACTGGGAGTCACGCTGCTCAGCTGATACCTATACCTACCAATGATACCTACTAATATATTATGACGTATAGGATCAACATGCGTAGATCCCAAAATTTTCTATGATGCAGCAACTTGACTAGAGCAGAGTGATGAGTGTTTCCAATGATGGCAACTACAAACCAAGACTAGTTGATAAAACAAATATTGAGGCACTCTGTACACACATGCTGCACACACACACATACTGCACGCACGCCTTACTAAATTATGGCCAATCGGACAAACAAAATATAACAAATACTTATGTTAATGAGGGATTTCAGTTTTTGATTTTTAATATAAATTGTTTTCGCTTTGTTATTATTTTTTATTGGGAGTAGAATGATTGACAAAAATATTATAAATAAATATAATCCTTTTGAATAAAATGTAACACGTGAAGGGGTCTGAATACTTTCCAAAGCCACTGTACGTTACATGAACATCCATGCTCATGTGGCGTACTGTATATTCGCTATACAGAATCAAAGGCGTGTACTATGACTTCCTCACTCACAAGAGCAGAGTCAAACTTGAGCATTTCTTAGATAATCTTAAGTACTTTTTATAGGAACAGAAAATAATCTTATTTACAGTATGTTGCATACTTGAAAATGTTGCTTTGCAATTTTATTTTTGAGTTGACAGAATGTTCTTTGGACCTAGTGTTTTTATTTGATCATGTCAAGTTATTTCATGTCTGTATTGTGTTATTTAATTCGACAAACTAACAAACCGACTTCCTTATACAATTTTTGGTCATCACAGATGCCTGAGCCCTTACTTATTAATGCTCAAGGCCGATTGTGATCTTGCAAAAAAAAAGCCACCGCAGACAGCAGTGTCCCTTAACAGAGTGTCCTGGAGGTGACAGATGAGATACAAACACACATTGTTCTTTTAATCTTAAGACTGTTCAAACTACTTTGTCAGCTCCTTTCCCAAAGCTAAACACTGCAGACACAATGTACTAAGAAAAAATGACAGAAGGAAAAAATAAGTTGCTACATTATCATTTCAAAAGAGACTGAATGAAGGCAGACAGATAACACGTTTTATATTACAGTGTAAAGAATGGAAGGAACAAAGAACACCAGATGTCCTCATGATGAACAGTATGTACAGCATCTACTTGAATTATGTGAACATACAACGTGTCAGATTACATAATAGTGGGTGGACATGTTAATGCTGCACAAATGAGTTAAATTACACTGAACTTAAGTTGGTACACAATGTTCCTGTCCTTGGCCGGACTTTGTTCAGCATTCATAAAGTGAAGCGTAAAGTGACCTTTTTATAACGCCCGGGTCCTGATGTTAACCGACTATAAATTCTACTTTGCTGTCTTATTTGTCAAAAAAATATATACATTCTTTCAAGAGGACTGTAGGTAATTAAAAAATGCTAAAACTAAGAGGTTATAATTAAGATATTGAGGAAGTCAGTGCGAGGGGAGTGAAAAGTAAAGGGGGAGAAAGGGCGTGTGAGTGTGAATGCCAGAAGCAGAGTTGGTAACAAATACTCACTGGGTCACTGGTTGACTTGGAGAATGAAGGAGCTAATCGTATGACTCTCATAGATGCCTCCAGTTGGTGAGAGGGGAGGAAGAAATTAGGGACCTCCACATGTACCGAGCTTAATGTAAAATGTTAAAAAAAACAAACAACAAAACAGTATGATAGTACAGTACTATAGTTCCTACAGGCCAGCTGAGACCAAAGATTCATGAGATGAAACTAGTAAATGCTGAAAAGGAAAATTTAAAACTCATCTAATAACATCGATGTGACAAACTGATAAATAGCAATAGATTAGAACAGAATTTGAATCCTGGGCCATTCGTGCAGTGTGTTTATATGCGCCAAACATCCTGTGAGGACGTTATCTGTAAATGGACTGCATGTAATGTTATGCAAGTGTGTATGTGTGTGGTTGTTCGCTAGAAACTTTCTTTCCGTCTTTTCCCTACAGTCTCTCTCTTTTTTCCTACAGTCTCTGATGCGACTTTCACGTCACTCTAGAGCAGCTGTTGTGACAGTTCTGCTGTAGACAGAGCTGCAGTGAAGGAAAAAGTTCCACAAAAAGCCATTATTAAACATGTGGCTCTCTTCCTCCTCAACCTCGCTTTCATCTGCTCACAAAATTCCTTTTTTTCCACCTGAAATCCAACAGACCACAAGCTCTCTATTGAATTATGTGCATACCACTTGCTTACTACTTACAGTGGGGGGACAGAGAGAGAGACTAACGTTAGTCAGTTGGGCATTTGCGTTGTCCAGCGTCAGAAACCGTAATGAAAAGGACACAAAGTTGTGAACACTTGTCATAATTTGGGAGGAATGTGACTCGTGAGAGGACAATGAAATACGGGAGTCTCCCGTGAAAATTGGGAGGGTTAGCAAGTAGGAGGTAAACTCTGTGGCTCCTTGATTACTTCTTTACGACAGAGTGCTGCTGCATGTGACATTGTGTTGTTCTTCTGCGCACGCGGGTCACTTTCAGGCCGTGGACAATTCACATCAGAGTCTGATATGGGCCATATTTAGGCAATAATGTGAACTGTCAAACAAAAAAATCGGATATGGGAAAAAAATCGGAATTGAGCATTAAGGCCTGCAGTCTGAAAATAGCCTAAGAATACATCATCATTTCACCTTGAACCTGACTTTCGCTCACTGAAGACGACAAAAGCCACCAGCTAAAAGTAAGCCAAGTAGATTTTTAAGGTTGATTCATATTTTACTTAAATACTGACATTAAAACACATATCTCACATACACTCACTTTATTAGGTCCACCTAGATAAAACTAATCCAGTCTTCAATAAATCCTCCCTTCACGAAGGTTGTAATGTTGAGGTTGTGTTGAAACTGTTTTAGAGGTGCTGATTCAAATGTAGTCTCCTTTTGGAGGATGTAGTTTGTGGTGCGGTTGAACTATATTGCGTAGAGAAAGGTGTTTGTGTTATTTTGATTTCATTTGGGTAGACAGAATATAAGAAACACCTGTCAGCATAAGGTAAAACAAACTACATTTTAAGTGACCCCACTTAGCATCATGGAACCAAGGGACACTCTTAAAGGATTATTCACTCACAGAACTAGTTTCGTCATTAATCTTTTATCTAAGTGGCCGTTTAAAGGAGATAATAGCAAAAACTAAAATGACAGCCAGAAAAACAACAAATACAGATCAAGGATACGGTTGCAGTGGAGTGTCTTGATTGTCCAGGGAGCATGAAGCATCATGGGTATCTGTGGGTGATGAAGCTGACCTCTCATTGGATTCTTTTGCTTGTCTCTCATCTGAAGCTTGTAGTGTCCTTTCATCCTCTCTGTCTGTGTCTGACGCGTCTCCTGCTGATCCATTAGAACTGTCCCTTTCCTCTCGTCTGGCACATCTGTGTTTCACACTACAGTAATAAGTTTGGAGATTTGTCATCTGCGGCTTCCCGTCCTCGTTCTGGCTCTGGTCCGGCTCCTCTGATGCCTCGAAGCTCTCCAGAGAAATCATGTCAGGGTCTGACAGAATGCTGGTCCAGGGACTGGTTTTGTCTGTTAAAGAAGTCACCTCATTCAGATGTCTCGGCTTCACCACGACCTCTTCGTAATCTTCTTCCTCTTCGTCGTCATCAGGTTCCTTGTCCTGTCTGCAACCTTTCCCATCTTCATCTTCACACGCACCTTCTTCGTTTTCATCCTCCGATGCAGCAACGTTGTAGTTTTGTCTGTGTTGTTCTTCCTCAGGCTCAGACTCTATATGGTCTTCAGACATCTTTACCAATGGAGAGAGCAGATGAGACACATCATCTTGGGAAGAATTTGAAGATCTGCGTCGACTGGAGATACTCTCAGGGATAGTTTGAGGATCGATGTCTGCAACAGGGGAAGTTGTTGAGCTGCTCTGTGTGTTTGAGGGAATTGTGTCTAGGTGTTGTCCTCGTAGACCTGGTTGGAGAGGACAGTGAAGGTTTTAGCAACTATACTGATTTGAATGTCAGTTATCATATAAGTGTTTTTTCTTCTTTTAGCGATCAAGGTAATACTTCTAAAGAACTGCTTTTTCCTGTTTTTAGTGTTGGTTATGGCTAAAACCACAACTTGACATTGTTTGTTGCTTGTGTTCTCATAAACCAATGATGTCTGTGTACAAAATTGACAGCAAAGATCTACTATACTAGTACAGTATGGCTGCAACAATTTGTTGATTAATTGATTGTCAATCAACAGAAAATAATCAGAAGCCATTTTGATAATAAATTAATCATATTAGTAATTTTCTGTTTGCAGCTTTTCAAATGTGAGTATTGGCTGCTGGTCAGATGACACAAGCAATTTGAATACATCACCTTGGAATATCATTAATAATTATTAATTATATAATAATAATAATATATATTATACTGGGCTTTTTTTATTTATTTACAATTTTACATTTTATAGACACAGCAATAAAATGATTAAGACAATAATCTGCATATTAACTGATAATAAAAAGAATTGTTAGTTGCAGCCCTGTAGTACAATATATAAACTGGATATAAATAGCATGGGCATTTGTAGAGTGACAGCAATGCAGTGTTGACATTATTCCATTAGTTGGTATTTCAGCACTGGTCCTTCTTTAGAGGAAGAAGTCAGACAGAAAAAGACAGTGATGCCTCCACTGATGGTTAAAGTGTGCAAGCTACACAGTGTACTGTGTCTGCAATGAACGCTGGGTCAACCGCCAGCGTGATCTTTAAATGGTAACTATGACTATTGACTATTGGGCTATATGACTATTGGGCATGTTCCATCAATTGTACCATTTTTAAATACTAAAATAATGTATTCATCAACCATATTATTTTTAAATGATATATTCACTAAAAACTACTGATGGAAAAGTACTGGAAGTAGAACCCCTTCTGCATGGAAGCTCACCACTGATGATATTGTTGACTTCTCCAACTAATTGGTTGGACTTGAGAAAAAGCTGACATGTATCTGTGTTCCTCTGTTCCTCAGGCTTGGTGTGACAGTCTTGCTTGGTCATGGACGGGAATATGGGAGTTGAAAGCTTGCGACTGAAGTATCTCTGGATGTTGTCGAGTTCACTTAGTTTATTCCTGTAAAAACAAAACAAAGATTTATAGTCAAAGCTCAGGTTTAAACCCCCCCCGCCCCAAAATAATGATGCCGGACTGTTTATCAGAGGAATTATACCTGAGTGCTGAAAACAGGAATGAGCTGGAGGGATCGATGTCGCCAACACTGCCACCGACAGAATTAGCTGCTGTTTGCTCCTGCAGACTCTGATGGTAAAGACGTACTTTGTCCATGTGTTCAAAATGGCGGTCACTCTCACTAGACCTGAACAGTTGTAACGATTTATAAATACAATGGTAGACAGACTTTGGAAGCTTTTCTTTTCAGCATGTGGAAATACATTGTACATAATGTGTATATAAAAATGTGTGAGTAATTGTTCGACAAACCTTTCAGAGAACAGCCTGTCTGTGTGGTCAGGTGACGAGATCTTCTGCTCAGGGTATCGGCTGATGTGAGAGGGGAAGCTGCTGTATGTGGCTGTGGTGTGGTAGCTGAGAGGGAGTGCCTTGAATAAAGACAGTTAATAAAACAAATCCACCATCAACTTTTATTTTGTTTTATAAATTATAAAAAACATAATCTATGTATGAATACTTTCTCTCACCGACGTGTTTTTGGAAGGTTCTTCATTCACAATTTTTCTCTGTCCTCGGAGGTCTTGGATCCCCTTTAGTGGAGTGATGGACACTTTGAGTTGACCGTGACACTGACCGCTGAAATCTGTGATGTTGTACCAACCACACACTGACTGGAACCCACAGAGTAAGGGAGACAGGTCTACAGAAGCAAATCCAATCACCCTCTCCATTTCTATGGAAGTAAAACAAACCAAGAGTGAATGAATATGTCAAACAGATCAATGCAATATACATCATGGAGTGAAACTGCTTCCTGTACCCCCTTTGTGCCAGACTTTGAACACCAGAGATTGTTGTGGATCAACCAGTAGCTGCTTTGAAAGCCTGTAAATTTGAAACAAATCATCAGCCTGATATTTGATAAGTGGTTTTATTAATGTGCTTTTGATATCCTCAAATACTTAAGTTAATGTCTTTGATATAACTCAGACCTGCACTCATGATGATGGTCCCACACAGGGCTGTCAGTGTTGGCTATGACAGCTGTGGACGCTGGTTCAGCTGAGTCGGCAGTGACGTATGAAACACAGCAGCATGGTGACCCTTCACTGCGCTCTGCTAGAGGACAGCCTGCCAGAAAAACACAACACACACATCAATATTTATGTACTGTGTCACAAAAGGAAGAAAGAAAACAACATTTCAGGTAACAAGCTCACCTTTCAGATTCAGGTGCATCGCCCGGTCAACTGCAACAGTCACAGGGAAAGATTCATCTGTGCTCATTGCTGTGTGCTGCACAGATGTAATGTCTGGTGTTGTTCTGGAGGATTTATTCTTGTGTCTGCTTTCCCTGTGTGATTGTTTGGGTGTAGTAGGCGAGGGGGATCTATCTGCTGCTTCTTCCTCTTCTGGTAAGAGTTCCCCCTGGCTGTCCGAGTCCACTTGTGTGTCAACTCCAGCAGAGGCCTCCAAAGGGACAAAACCTGCTGTCAGGGTGATGTGCACTCTGAGAGCAGCCCCTTGTAGATCCACTGCTGAGCGTCTGAACAGTGGATAGACTCCTGTAAAACCAAAAATCTGTGATTACACTCAAATACAAACAATAATAATCAGTGAAATTATAACACAATCATTTCTTACCACTGAGAGTAAGCTTCTGCTTGGGCGTCTTTGCAAGAGAGGATAGGTCGATAAACGCTGAACCCACCAGTCGGTCTGTGTCTCGGGGTCTTTGGGTTTTGTCTTTTTTAAAGGCAATCCACACCTGAACCTCTAGCCTCTCCTCTCGAAGATACCACATCAAGGGCTGAGTGCTCCTTAGCTCCACAGTTCTACTTCCCTGGAAAGTGGCAGTGGCCTCTCCTCCCTCCCCACCCTCAACAGTGGGGTGTTTCATCTGGGAGCAGAAGGCATCCTGGTCGTAGAACTTATACCTAAAGTAGCAGTAAGTCGAGCGCAAAATCGCCCTGTGTCCTGGCAGAAGCAAGCAGTGGACAGGTATCCACGCTCTAGGCATTGAAAAAGTCAAAGACATTTTTCTCATGCTGTCTTCCCAGGCTTCTTCATCATCTTGCATTTCATTCTGGGCTATTCCCCAGCCCACACCCTGAGCAGCTTTAATGACCCTTTCCCTGTCTGAGTGGTGGGCGAAGTTGACAGAGATCTCGAGGCCCCCGACCAAGATGTGGTGATGCTGAGAAGAACTTGTTTCCTGAGGTACATACACTCCAAACCAGCCGGAAATACCTTTATATTTGGGAAAATAAACACAATGGCTGTGTTCATCATTAAATATCTACTTGACCCAGAAGTCACTTATAGACTGCAGCATACCTGTTCTTTTATGGATGAGATCGCCAGTGGTATTTTCACTGTGCCCAACATCACATCCTTTGGCTTATGAGTGAGCACTGCTGCAACAAATAGCACAAAACAATATGTAACTTACAGGCAGATATTATGGACTAACATTAAAACTAAACGCTTATATATAAGAATGTTTTGAACAAACAAAAATATAAATTGTGGAACAACATGATGTCCAGCTGCCAGAAAGGTAAAACATATTCAGCATTGTTATGGACTACTTGGCCAAGCATCATTAACAAACTAATTATGTGGATTAAGTTAATGTTAATTTGAATGTATCCTGTACTTCATTTTATTAAAGGATGAGGTGGTTGGAACACTGCCTGTTAAAAATAAAAATATCACTTGCATTTTAAATGTTACTGTGAAACAAAATTACATACATTATATATGTATACATTTGTAAAATTATTATTAATATGTAATTGTGGTAAATAAAACAAATCAAGCTTTCTAAAAACCTTTGCGATTGTCTCTGTTCCATACAGTGAAGACAGCAGTCGCTTCCTCCAGCTGCTCAGCCAGGCTGCAGGTTTCTCCACTGCTCCTCTGAATCAGCAGGTCACAGGACACCTCCATGTGGTGGTCGAACTCCGGGCAGAAGGTCCTCGCGGCTATGCGGGTGCTCCTCCGCACACTCTCAGGCAGGAAGGAGAGCTGCACTGTGATGTATGTGTTCACTCCCACACTGGCAAAGTAGCTGAATCTTTCATCCTGTTCAGATACAACCCTGAAACAGAGAGGAAGAAGCACAATAGCAAACTGAAGCCATTTGGGCAGTATCTTAAATAAGTATTAGGAAGAAATTAGCAAATACTTTCAGTCTGAAAGATCTCTGCTGCTGAAACTCTTGCCATCAGAACAATTAATAGAGTTGAATGCCATTGTATATGTTGATCACAAAACACACAGTTGAAAAACTCAACAGAAATGTCTATGTCAATGTAAATAGGCTGGTGGCAGAAGTGTCAGCAGTAGAGCTCTAACTCTACATATTAAAACGGAAACTACATTGATGGCTAGATGGCATGACCTGATACCACTATCTCAAAGAGTGAGTGAATGCTGTATTTATATATTTAGCCTGGTCAACTCCCCATCACATATGAAAAAGATGCATTCAAACACAGTACCTCCCCACGTGCCATCCTGCAATTAGGAACAGTAAGTTTCACACATTTACCCAAAAGCAAAAACAGTTTCAAGACAAAGACAAAGTGCTGATATGCTTGACAACAACGACAAAGAGGAAATACTAAATCATCTATCTACATATCTAATATTCCAACAACCTTACAGTTTCATTTACATATATGTGAATTCCACTTTGATCACCTGATGGTGTAAAGTCTTTTTATGATCACATGAACAAAATAAAAACACAAAGGTTTAGTGGTGTACCTTGCTGCGGCCTGCAGACCTGATGCTCTGTGCACTTGAACCACGAGTGTCACAACGCGAGAGGCAGATCCTTTACCAGTCTGCCCTTCAGGTCTCACTGGTCGGTGCTTGTACCGAATGCACACATCCAGCAGGCCTGAAAAACACAACAGATCAGTCACAACATTTAAGGGTTGAAACAAACACTGGAGCGTTTATCCACTTACTTTACTGGTTCACTTTGTATGGCAAATGCAAACAAGTTGTGGTTTCATCTGTGATAAGACCGTCTGACATTCTGCATTATTAAATTATTAAATACCCGCCGTCTTACGAGACATTCATATGTGCGGCCATCTAAAGTAAAGCTGATATGCACTCCAAACCAACATGAACCTGATGGTGCACCATGATGTCTGATATCCAGGTAGATATTTAGAGGGGTTTGTTTGTGTGTCTGCGTACCTGAGGGTTGAGGCTGGTGTCCTGTGGGACTGTCTGTCCTGGGAATCAGGGGCAGGGAGAACATTTGAGCCTCGTTGGGATGCTGTCTCTGCATGGTGACCATGGCACACAGTTTGGACAATGGAAGCATTCCTTTGGCCACAAGCTGGTCTCGAACATTTGGATAATAATATCTGCAAAAACATAAAGATCCGTAATATGGAACCACAAAGTTTTATGTTAAGATTCTAAACTATGCAGCTGCAAAATAAAAACCACATCAAGCAGTTACATCATAGGCCTTGAGGTATATTCAGACACAAAATATTGGTGTTTTTATTCTTTCATTTACAGGAAGCAACCATTTCTGAGAAGAGAATGTTTGGTTCTCTTCTCAGAAATAGTCACAGTGGTCTTACGTAAGAAATGCAACACTTAGTTTTTAGATTTAGGCAGAAGAAGTCAAGCTTCAGAGTAATGACAGGGTGATGACAACGTTTTTGCTTTATTGAGTGTAGGTCAATTTCCATTTCTTCCCTCTTATTCGAAAAGACGACCACAAACCTGCACCACACTTCAAACTGGACACCCCCTCCACTGCTTAGGCCTTGACTTGAAAGAGAGCTGAGCAGCAGCCTCTGAACAGGCACTCCTTCAGGAGCCAGAAGCACATGAGTCTCAGTGTGGCCAAACATCGGGTCAGGGACACACAGAGTTGTGGTCGTACGAAACAGCTTCAGGTTCACGCCTGTTGTAGATGAGATACAGATCAGAGTGACGTAGAGGGAAGAAAAGCTTCATGAGAAATTCTAAAGGGTTTTACACACTGAAATGGCCTTACTGCTCTCTATGAGGTCTTGGTCCACTTTTGTAGCAGGGTCATCCTCCTGAGAGGGGAAACTGTACTGGATGTAGCAGTCAGCCTCACCCCACACTGTGGACTGCAGAGGTGTCAGCCCATTTAACTTCTCCACTCTTATCACAAACAGGTGCTCTCTCATAGTTTCTGCTTGCGCTGCAATCACCTGATGGACAAACACAATTGTGAAAGAAGGTTAAACGGACTTGACATCTTGTCAGCACAGTAAAACATGCTTCACACATACTCAAGTCCTTTCTAAATATCTAAATGAAAGCAGTGTCACACCTAGTTAATGCATTAGTGATATTTCTAATTGTTTTGAATGTTCTTCCTCAGATTTGTTGAGTGATCCACTGTTTGGCAAGTGTTTGTCATGTTCTGACCATAAAGAAAAGTTTAAAACCACAATTAAAAATCTGGTTTCTTCAAAAAGCAAAGGTCAGCCTTAAAACTTGAATGAAATAACGATTCGACATTTCTCGTAATAATTATCAATATTGAATGGTATGAAATTCTTTATGGTGACACAATTTTTGGCTGTATCGCCCAGCCCTACAAACACACAAATGCTTCAAGGTTTCTGTAGCCAACATTAACACTGACCTTTGTTTGTGAATGTGGCTGGTGTTCAAGTAGATGAAGTGGTCTCACATGATGAGATAAATTGTCATATTCTTCATTCCTCGTGCGCTGGAGGGCAACTATCTGCTCTGATCGGCCAAGAGCCAAAACAACCCTTAGGTTCCCTTTAGAGCTACCTGAGAACACATCAATGACTGGCATGTAGCAGTCCACACCTAAAACAGGGTACTGCGCCTGCAGAAGAAGGTGGGCAATCTTTGGATCCCTGGAGGGGAGGTGGAAAAAAAAGTTACAGAGTTACTCACAAGCAGCCTCACTATGATAGGTATATTTCAGTCCACATTACGAGTTGTGTGTGGTGAAAATTGTGTTTTAAAAAATCCTAGTATCATTCTGAGAATTCAAGGAGTTTATAGCACGTGGGATAAAATACCTTTACAACATATTCTCTTTGGAGAACAGGATAGCGCCTTCTAGAGGGCAGGTTAAATAAAAGAGATCTAAAAGCTCCCCATTAAGCTTCTTAGCCTTTTGCCAGCTCTCAACTCAAGATATCACAGTTGTGTTTAGTTTAATTTATCTTTTGATATTTTATGGAATTAATTCATTAATCATTTGGTCTATAAAAGTCAGAAAATTACGAAAAAAGTTACAATTTTCCAGAAGCCGAAGTCTACAACCCAAAAATATTAAATTTACTGTCACAGATGACTTAGAAAACCAACATATATTCACATTTGAGAGGTTGGTATCAGTGAAGTTTCTGTACTTTTGCATAAAAAACAACTTCAATGATGAATTGATTATTAAAAAATGTGTCATTCTTCCACGACTTGCCTAAATGACATGTAGAACTGGTGGAGAGGTAATTTAACCAGGCCAAGGAGTTGATCCTGTCGTGAGCCTCCTGTCCTCTGCCACACCTCGATTACCATCATATTATTCTTCATCCGCTCCAGCAGCTTAGCTGTCAAGGCCACAGGAGTCACCTGAGACAAAGGATTAAGAAAAAATCATGTAGGATTTTGCATTTATAACGTAGTGAAGGAGTATGTTGCAATGTTATAATTAGACTTGATCTCCTGGGCTAACCTGAACAAAGTTGAAAGTAGGATTTGCCTGACCCCAGCTGATGACAGATCGTGCTGTCTCATCGCACCAAAAAAGTTTACAATTCAAGTACACGTTTGGAGCCTGCATGGGCCCGCAGTTGAAGTTCTTTCCATCTGGCACCATGAGTAAAGTGTGCAGCAGGACCTCAGGGTACTCCTCCACCTGATGCTGTGATTTATGAGGGGACGTGTGGAGGCCAGGATGGGGAGAGGGTTCTTTCGAGGGTTTCTGAGGACTCCAAACGTTCAGTCTGGAGTCTTCAAAGAGCTAGCTAGTAGCTCCTTCCTGCCAAGGTCAACATGTTGAGATGTGAAGCTGGTCTCTCTCTGTGGACTTGGTGCAGTTTTTGAAGGGGATTTGCCTCTCCTAGCTAGTTTGCTTATACTCCTTTCAGAGAAATCTTTGTTGTCTGTAGCAAGTTCTAGCGACACCTGAAAAAAAGATTGACAGTCACTTGGGTTGTTAACATTATTCCTGGTTAAAATAAAATATACATAAAAAAAAAAATTATATTATATGTATTACCTTGAGAGGTCCAATTTCTTGTGTTTCATTATTTACTTCCACGCTCTGTACATGTAAGACGACAGACTGACTCAGCTGCTTGCTCTGCAGCAGAGAGCGCAGTGGGTGAACCGCCTTACCAATGGGAACAGGCTGCAACAAGAGAAGCCAAGGTCATCACCAGCACTTCATTATGGTGATTAATGCAACAGCCTCTTCACTTGCCTTAATCAAAAAACCCTAAATAGGTTACAGACTGTACAGAACTCAGATGCTCGGCTCCTAACTAAAATATGATCATATCACCCCTGTTTTAGCATCATTGCACTGGCTCCCTGTTTGTTTTAGGATTGATTTTAAGATTTTACTCATTACTTTTAAGGCTATTCATGGCTTGGCTCCTGATTATATTTTAGATATTTTAACTCCTTATGAGCTCTCCCGTGGTCTAAGATATTCTGGCAAGGGCCTCTTGTCTGTTCCTGGAGCCAGTCGTTATACTCTATTGTGATCCTTGTTCTTATATTCTGTATTTTATCCCCCTGTATCTTTTACCCACGTGGTTCATTAGGGGTCCAAGCCCGAGTGGGCTGGGAACCTGCGAATGCAAGGCATCGCGGTTCCCAGTACCAGCGAAGCGGCTGGGAACCCTATTGCTTTTGCTCAGATTTATATTATTTTTTAATTCTTCTATGCATATAACTGATACTGCGGCCTACACCGTAACTGCTGGGGACGTGAAACTCACAAGGTAGGTTCACAGCCCCAAGAGGCGCCAAAATCCGTACACTTCTATCTCTAGGGGGCGCTATAAGCAACGTCAACGTGTTTGGGCTTGGAACTCACGCCTACGAAGGCGCATATCAAAAACCTTATATCCACACGTTTGGGGGATCCAGCTGAATCTCGTGGTATAGGCCACGCCCATTTCCGCCTAAACTTTTTTCCCCTACATCGTGAAAACTGAAAAACCTATTCTAATTAACTCCTCCGAAGCCACAAGTCCGATCGACACCAAACTTGGCACGGATAATCTCTGGACAAAGCCGAAGAAAGTTTGTAGAAGGAATCTTGATGCGCCAAAAAATGTCCCAATTACTAGCTAACAAATGTTTACGCAAATGCTAAAAACAGGATGTCGTGATCTTACGTTTGCAATGTCTACACCAAACTTGGGGACCTTATCTGGCACGGCCTCCTGAGGGCCTGTGTGAAATTTGCCGTCAATCGGCCTCTAGGTAGCGCTATTAATTGGAAATCAAATAACACTCCCATAGACATACATTCATTCCAGATCTCCATAACCACAAGCCCCTTTCATTTATAACTCTGCTCACTACGGGTTAAGTATCTTGCTCTGGGACACATTGGTGGGTAGGTCGATACCCAGTCAGTCACTCACTCTTAAACCAACAAATATTACAAATGTTAACCAATCTAATGAGCAATGTTTAGTCCAAAGCTACTTACTTTCTTTTGGTCATTCTTTCGTGAGTAAATTGTGAAAATCAGATCGGTTTCCCACCATTGTTTAACTGCTGCTGTACTGAAGTGGACAGGAAACACAGAGTGCTGATGGAATTTCACCGCTAAAAAACACAGAAGAGTGTTCGTCAGATACACTGACAAACCTGACCAAAGACTGGCAGAGACACTCACTCAGGTGGGTTTAATATAAGCAAATATATATCATACCTCCTCCTGTTACTTTACTGGCTACAGCTCTGGTCACCTCCCCATCTCCTCCCTTACTGCGATCATGTCGACTGGAAGAGGAAGGGATCGGGAACACGTACTCGATAAAATAAGTGCTAATGAAGAAGAGAGTAGATGTCAATAAACGCCTTTCTTACTCATAATGACAATGTTATTTTAAAATGAGATTCAAATGGTGATACATATTTTGCCTACCACTTCTTGCTGGTTAGTGGTCGAGGAGGCCTCCCTTTTGTTGAAGTCTTTCTGGGTGTGGTGTTTGTACTGCCTGGTGGTACGACCAGGGAGTCGACAGTCACTCTTGCCAGCCGGATCAAACTCAGCGAAGTCAACCGCTCTGCACTCAGGCCAGGAGCAATGCCACAAGCATCTGTAGACCGCTGAGGCCCTGAATTTAGACTGGACACAATCAAAATAAGGTGAATTATAGTCTCACAAAAAAAGTGGTATGGTTACTATGAGTCTACTTTCATCATAGCGGCTAAATCTAAACTTGAAGCCACTGAGGACAGCATAGACAGGTATCTTATTGACACGCTCGCTGAACTGCCATAGCCAACTAGTGTCTAGTGAAATAACGAAGTCTACTCTTGTCTTTTTTGTTCAGAGATATTGTTCACCATTAATGGTCTTCAGGTAAATGTGAGAATCCAAATGACAGTCCATAAAGCTCCATTTAGTCAAACATTTCAACACAACATATAGTACAGGTTGCCCAGCATAGTGTGCCTGGCGAAGCGGTCAAAAAAATATTTGTGCTCCCCTTCTGACTAGGAACACCCATCACCTTAGTGAGGGTTCCTAACTAAATTGCGTTTTACGCAAAGCAGAAAGGTGACACCTACTGGACCCACTAGTGTTCTGCACACAAAAACATTGATGATTCTTGTCTATGAAGATTCTCAGTCATCCAGGTCATAGTTATCCAACGAAGGTTAAAATCAAGGGCAACTGGACTTGGTTGAAGATACTGGAAGACGTTTCGTCCCTCATCCAAAGGACTTCTTCAGTTCTGACTGACTGGCAGGGAAACTCAGCTATTTAACCTCAGTGGGGTCGTTGGCCTGGGTCATCGATACCGCTGGTTCGTTAGTGTTCCTTGTTGCTGTGACGAAAGTTGTTACAGTCGTTAGGACTACCTGTGGCCAAGACTGAACGACCATCGTTGGTATCTTCACCTGAGGCCAATAGGTTACGTTTGTTGAGTTTCCTGGGAAGTGATGAAAGGACAGCATTGTAAGTGGGGGATAAGTGGTGGCGTAGACCCCCTCCCCTGTTCAATGACGGCTTCTCAACCCTGGTGTAGATGGCTTCCTTGACACCTCTTTCAAACCATCCATCTTCTCTGTCTAAAATGTGCACCTGGTGGTCCTCAAACGAGTGTCCTCTGTCCTTCAGATGTAAGTAGACTGCAGAGTCTTGACCTGAGGAGTTGGCCCTTCTGTGTTGAGCCATGCGTTTGTGTAGTGGTTGTTTAGTCTCCCCAGGTCTCCCCACAGACCTGTACATTGGGGAGACTAAACAACGACTAACGACTGTAACGACTGTCGTCACAGCAACAAGGAACACTAACGAACCAGCGGTATCGATGACCCAAGGCCAACGACCCCACTGAGGTTAAATAGCTGAGTTTCCCTGCCAGTCAGTCAGAACTGAAGAAGTCCTTTGGATGAGGGACGAAACGTCTTCCAGTATCTTCAACCAAGTCCAGTTGCCCTTGATTTTAACCTTCGTTGGATACTGATGATTCTTACACTCATGCTGTATGTTTTGTCTGTGCTATATGCTCTCCTGGTACCTTGTCTGTATCCCATGTAATATGTGTAAGTGGTTTATTAATCTGGTCAATTTTCTTTTGCATTTGATTTAACTTGCTTATTTATAGACTTTCATCAATTAGAGTACCCCAAGGTGAAGATAACCTTAAGGATTAAGGTCACCTTACTTTTTTAGATTGGCAATCTTTGAAGGTGGAAGAATTAAAAAAATTGAATGACACCCAGTCACCTTCAACTCGATCCTCTAAAAGTAGTATATTTTTACTCTTTACTGTCCGAGCAGCATGGCTTAAAGAGCATGTAAAGTAAAGGCCCTTACCCTCCACTAGTCTTAGGTCCAGACTGTGTCAGCTGTTTAGGCTGATCTTTACATGAGGACACTGTTCCTTGACCCTCTGCCTCAGTATCATTTGGTCTGATATCGGACATCTGAAAGACAAGAAAGACTTATAAATAACCCTTTGCTAGAAAATCAAGTAAGCTGACACTGATATTGTCCATAAAACAAATTTTCCCTGACAATAACCAGTGCTGGTAATAAATGTGCTGTAAATAAATCTGTCTACTTACAGGAGGTTTGTAGAACAAATTTTCCAGTAGGCTCTGATCATATTGTGGATCACTGAGTTCACTATCGCCACACACACTGCTATGGCCAGACAGAGATTCAGGGTAGGAACCCTCTCCATCCCAGAGAGGCAAAGGAGATGTGTTTAAGCTAAAATAAAAATAAAAAATAAAAATATTGGGGAAAAAACTTCTTACATTTTCTGTCAACTTTGAAAGCAAATGTGCACACAGGTACCTGCCAAGGAGCAGATCCACAGCTCTGTTATCTATGTCAGCAGGACAGTCTAAGCTGCAGTCTGAGACCACTGCAACATCCTCAGAGTGCTTCAGAGTTGAATCAGCATGAAGAATATTTTGAAGAAATATCCCAGATGGAGAAGGGAACCTGCAGACACAGGAATAAAGTTTTATAGACGTGGTATCACAAGGTGATAGAGAAAACTGTGCTTTTTACAAACTTTTGAAGCACCAACTTGGACGGTGGGAGGATGTTATCCTTTGGAAGAGGCAGAGGGGTGTCTTTCAGAGCTGGGGCAGAATCCATGTCACATTTCAAAGCTGAAACCACCATAGCATTTCTTAGCTTATTTCCACGCTCTAGAATAACTGAGATGAAAGAAAATGTTTTAAGACACAGTCAAATTTGCGCTTTTGTGGTTAAGTACATCTAATGTGTAGTCATGCTGTAACCAACCTGAGAGGATATCATTGGTTGCTTGGCCACATGGCTCCCGGCTTGAATGGTTCACAGGTGTTTGACTGTTCTGAGATATGTTTGTTCTTGGCATCTGATTCTCCAGTGACTCTTCTTTGCCTTTGTCTTTCTGGGCATATTGGAAATACAAGTGGTCTTTCCCCCTGAAAATAGTACATCAATATTTACAGTAAGATTAGTACGTTTGTATATAAACTTATTATGAAAAGCAACAACATAACAACAACATCAAACCTTGGTGTGTTTCCACTGCTGCTCCCAGCTGATTCTTTCCCGCTGCCAGCTGAGAGAGATCTTTGCTGCGAGGGCACAGTCAGTGTGGTGACCTGTGGTCCTTCAATGCTGATATCGGTGATGGGGCCTGAGCTGCTGCTGTCATAGGCTTCTGTGAGAGGCTCCAAATTAAGGGAAACCTGAGGAGGTCAAAGAAAAATCTAAGATGTCGACTTAAAACACAACTGGTGGAGGCAAGTGTCTGTGTTATTTGCAACTGCAGGTACAAAATAATCCCACCTTGAACATTTTAAAGGGTGTTCAATTAAGATCAACCTAACTACCTACGGGGGTTTTCAAAGGTTTGTTTGTCAATGTCAATGTCACAATTTCAAATGATTATAAGGGCCAGAAGCGGTGGATGACAGATGTTGGCAAGTCCTAACGATTTAACACCCCTTTAACACAAATATAGACATATTGCAGATATAATCATGGATACAAAAATGTTAATAGCCTTAAGAGGTTCTGAAGGTGTAATAAATCCAATCCTTTAGGTTCTCGTGCCTTTAAATATTATGTGTGATACTCTTTTGCCCCTACACAGTAAGGTCAGAGTCAGACCCTGCAGTTTGTAGAGATTCATCGTCCTGCCAAAAAACACTTCAGCGGGTCACATACTTGCAATAAGGGCAAATGCAACGGTTTATGTGGAGTCTCCCTATTCACTACAGAGCTGGTATGCAGTGCTAAACTTCAGCATACCAAACATCACTTGCAGTGTTACTGCACAAATGCATTTGCCAGGTAAATGTGAATTCATGTTTCCACGCACCTGTAACTCTCCCAGCTTCTCAGATGTAGGAGATACAAGGGTGTAAAATCCACTGATGGGGTGTGACAGAGAGAGACGTGAGATGCCGGCAACCTGAGCCCGTGCGATCGGCAAATGATCCGGTTTTGTCAGGACTTCCAGTACCAGAGAGCCCATATCTGTTCGTCAATGACAGGTTAGTCAGGTTGATTTTAAATATATGTTTACAGCATAGCAAACACAAACATATCAAACACTTCTTAGTTACCTGTAAGATATGAGGTGAATTGCTTTGGCCCACAGCGGATGGGGAAGCGAGCTGTGGTCTTGAGGGTCATCTGTGATGCCTGAGATCCATCTCTCGGAAAGAAGTGTGTCCCATTGGATGACTCTCCCCACCAGCGCAGCCTGATGAATGTTGCAGACGGAGGCTTGTGAACTGTCCATAATACCCGGCTTATTGTCACCCGCAGGAAGCATCTTAGTTGGCCCTCGACCAGAGGAGGGAGGCTGGTGGATGGGGACACGTCGCTGGGGGCTGCAAAGAGATATTTTTGATTACAGCAAGGCCGAGACACAAAGAACGCAAACACTGTAAATACTAACGTCAAAGGTCACCATATAATGGGACAGGTAAGAGTGGTATCTGCTGCAGGTGTTAGCTCAATGTTGGCTGGTATAATATACCAAACTGCCAAAAACAATTTTTAACAATTATCAAAATAGTTGGTGATTTAATAGTTGACAACTAACCGATTAATCGTTGCAGCTCTTGTTGTTTTACACATATAAAGAGTTTTATGTAATGTAATGTATTAATGAAACAGTTTACTGGTTTGAAAATAAACTTGCTTGTGATTTTGCATGACATTTGCTAAACTGTTATATAACCCACTAATATCTCAAAATATTCTTATTAATAGAAAAGTATTGTAATAATTATTTCAGCCGTATGACCCAGTCCGACTGTCCAGAGCTGCAGGTGTACAGAAAGCTTACAAATGTATCACACTGTTTACTTAAAACATCCACAATAAATCTCTCTAAGCTACTGTACTTATCCCTGTTGGAATTTTTTATTTCAAAATCCATTAGTACAACATGTATGAAATTATTGACAATAATGTATTAACCCAGGAGTGTTTGAAACTCTGTGAAAGCTGCACTTATTGCTGTAAATGAACCAAAACAACTAAAACTCCAGCGGTTATAGTCGGGGTCTAAACACCCCAACGTATTAAATAGTTTGATACGTGTCTCAGAAGTTATTAATGTGAATCTTGCGGTGCAACAAGTCAACCAGCAAAATCATCTTATCTAGCAAACGTACATAGCAGCCCTTATCAACAACAAACACCGAGTAGTTTTAGACTTACTTAACGTTAACGTTACACAAATGCAAATAACGTTACAGGAAGACAACATTGTAAGAGACGCATTTCTACAAACTAACGAGTAAACTGTAAATTAATATAGATTCCAGGATTTTCTTTTAATCAAAACAAAATGTTAACGTAACGTTATACGTTACCTTTGTCAAACCCACTAACATTAACTCCTCCGTGAACTTAACGTTACAAGTTATTACACAAATGCTTAACCTATTGAGGCACATTAACAACACTGACAAGACATACAACACAAACCGAGAGAAAGCGAAAGAATATTAACTTAACATAATATATTAGCTAGTAAGCTAATAATACAGAGGCTACTGTAAGACTGACAGCTGACGCTAACAGCTACTTGGCTTTATTGCTAAGCTAAGAGTTCACCTTTTCTTTTACTGCTTCCTGCTTTGACGGACCTCTGTTTTCTGCTCTTCATCCCTCAGCTCAGTAAATACAGATGGTCAGCCTGGCCGAAGCAATGGCTGAACCACAAGCAGGCATGATTTTTTATTAAACTCCAGCTAACTCTTTTATAATCCGTTTAACAGAACTCCGTGAACTGCGCACACACCCACACAACGCCACACACAAGCGGCGGCGCGCAAAACTGTTTCCGAGCAACAAAGTCAAAACGTCCCGCTTCCGCTGCCGCTGCTTGGTACTGAGGCATTCTGGGAAATTGAGTTTAATTCGTTAAGGCGCTCAAAAATAATCTTTTTGCTCTTCTGCACATAATGTAATGAACTAGTTTCTCCACGTAATGAATGGCCGCTGGGATGGAAAGTAGACAGGTACTTAACTCAAGTAATGTTTGTAATTTTGAGGTACTTTAGCTTTACTTGAGTATTTATATTTTATGCAACTTTATAGCCTACTTCTACTCCACTTCAGAGCATGTAAGTATAGCAAACAAGTAAAACATCTGAGTACTTGTTTTATCACGAAGAACCACTATGTGCTGATAACAGTGTCACATTTAGACAGGTTTCTCTCAGATATAAATGATCAAATGTCCATATAAAGTATTATATTCTACTCTTAATTACTGAATGAGTGAATTGTATTCACTCTAATAATAATTAATTTACCTAAATCCTGTGAATCCTCGTCGATATGATACGGTAGGCCTTGTACTATATGTACATTTTACTTTTCAGTGAAACACAGGCACTTGTTTGCTCTTATTTTAATCCAAAAGTGCATTTAGCTCATAATTTAGACCATGTCTTTGTTCAGTGTATTTGTGTGGCACATTTGTTGGCAACGGGAAGAAATGAGTGATAAAAAGAAACAATACAGTAAAATACAGTTTATAAAAAGAAATTACTTTTTAATGGAGTGAAAAAAAAATCTTTTAATTCCATGCAGCCATCTCTTACATCACCAGCAGAGGGAAGCACTGATCTTTCCATCACTTACAAAACTGCTTTCTAACAGGCGTGTGCAGTGATTTTCTTTCTTTCCTGGAATTTTAAAAGGCCTGCTTAATTTATACTGTGCTTTTTTTCTGCTGTTGTTGGGCAGCTTCTCTGTCAGTCAGAATTGTTTTCAAGTCTATTTTCTATCAGCTATTCAAACTCGTTGACTCTGTAACAAGTAGCCTAGTAAGCTAACTGGGGAAGTGTTAACAGTGCTTTTTAGTGTCCAGAATTACTCTATGTACTTGACTACCCATGTTAAGGGTGACTGCTGGTCTAGTCATGTGTGCCGTAGGTAGTTTGGACTATGCTTTAGCATAGCAGCAAGTCCGTCTACATCCATGCTTGTTGTGGTGCTCACAGAAACAGTGTGTGAGGGTGTAGAATAAAGCCCTTTGAATTCTGGGAAAAGTTAGGCTTCAAGTTGTAAGATGAACCTGTGAAAAGATGACTTTAAACCTTTCTGCTTTCCTCGAATTCCTGGTTTGTAAAACTAAACTTGATGGGTATAGATCTCTGCTGTCTCAAGTAAAACTTGGATAATTAATTAAAACATAGACTTAAGATGTATCCTTGTAATTTATTTGAGGAGTAGCTACAATGTGTGTTTCTGTAAATATGGGCAAAATAGTTGCAAAACTATTAACAATATTGTGTCTATAGAATTAAAAATCCTTATGGACTCAGACAATGTAGCTATAACCATGTTTTTAACAGAATGAATCTCTAATACTAATATTTGCAAAGAAACAGAGAGCTTTAGAAAAGTGGGGTCTTCCTATCCATCAACTCCAAGGGAAAATAATCAAATCCTGCTGTTGGTGTGCACCCAGGAATGTGCAATATACATTCAGTATGACTGGCTCTTATATTTTCTTTGTGTTAGTGTGCGCTTGGAGCTCCAAGCGTGTCTGTGTACACTGTGGTGAGCTGAAAGGAGACAGAGGTATTATTCCTCTGTCACCCCCTTAATTTCATTTCTTATTTTCATATTTTCATTTAATCTGCCGGATGGCCCCCAGAAATGTCACATATATAGGCCCCTTAGTGCCCAAGCTCGTACAGTGAATTTTAATGTGGTGTTTGTCGCACCTCACTCTGTTTTAAGATGGGTTATGACCTGCTTAGACACACATACCCGAGATAAGTAAGTAGTATGTAGACAGCATTGGTTGCATGAGTTCAGACACAAAGTCTGCAGCAGACGGGTTCCCTATTATTTGGTCTGCAGAGTGTGATTAATGATGACCAGCCTCTGAAGTTCAGTAAAAGGCTGACAGATCTGGTTCATTTGTTCCATTAGACAGCCAATTACACCAAACTGAAAGAGTGTCCCACAGGCAGCGATGACCACATCGTTCATTCAGCTGGGGATAAACAGGCACATCACAATGACTGGTTCCTCTGACTCATAGCACCCGTCTGAACTGGAGTCCTGAGGTCTGAGATGACCCATTACAGAAGAATTTCAACCAAAATCTCTGTTAATAATCTGCATCTAGAGAAAGAAAACAGCACCTTTAATGTTTTGTCTTTTGTAATGATATTGCCCTTAAAGTCTAAAACAAGCCTAAAACATTTTTTCCACTGTACTAAAATGTCACACGCTCTGTAGCTGCTTGTTCGATCACTTCATAGAAGTGTTATCACACGTAAATTCACTTGAATATTCAAATCTAAAAACAACATTTATTTTTGGCAGCAACATAACATTAAACAGACATTTTAAGATACATTGTGCACCATTTCACAGTGATTCAGCCAGGCACATTAGGTATTTTTTGTAAACTTCTGCATCCACACATTAGAAATAAAGCTTGGAAGGTATGTACCAAGTTCAGCTGTGTTGATTTGCAATGGCAGTCCCTAGAGTTTGCCCAGTGTCGGAAGAGCGTTACATAAGAAGTCCGTTTTTAAGGAAGCACGAGGCAAACCGCCTTGAAACCAGCACAGTGTGCGAAGGCAGAGGCCTCTCTCCATCTGCAGCAGAAGACCATTTGGGCTCTGGGGAGTGATTGTCGACTGCCCCACTCCTCTTTTACCTCTCTTACTCTCAGCCTTCTGCTATCCATGTCCACTGCAGCACTGTACTGTGCTTAGGCTCCCTGGGGCCCGGAGGTCCAATCATAGAAGCAGGCTGCCCCATAACAGCTCTCACCTCCCCTGCCTGTATGTTCATTTTCTGGCTCCCTCCTTCTATCTGCCTGCAAGTGTGCCTCTCAATTGTAGAGGTTGGCTCTTGTACTCCAAGGGGCCCAGCTAGCGCTCCACCCCTCTCACTCTTCAGGGTTCAGGCTGCAGCGATGTTGGAACTCCTGGCCATGCTCATGGATCCATTTATTTGCCACTGACACATACAGAAAGATGCAAACTATGTTTTAGTTTCTTCGAGGGAGAATAGAAAAAAAACATGAATGAAAGTTTTCTTGCCCTTGCATCTTTTGTATAAGAAAAATACAGCCTTAATATTAATTCCTAAAGATGTATATGGTTGCTAAAAACAACACAGCCACCAAATACTTCTGCAGCTGCTTTGTGATGATTAATATCCGTCTGTTACTCTAACTGGGTCCCTAACACACGTTTCAGCATTAGGAGTTTGATGGTCTGGGCCAACCGGCAGCAGATGTTTAGCTTCCAATATGAGGGCTCAGTGTCTGAACTGCACTCTGTAACATCTCAAAATATGTAATGCAGCACAGATGTGGCCTAGCGTTTGTACATCAGCTCCTGTATAATATGAAAGCTGAAATGGATAACTGTTGAGAGAAACAAGACCATGATAATGATCCAAAGCCAAATCTGTTCAAAAGAGGTGTCTGATAAAGTGCTTAGTATTTTCCATATTCACATATCTTTTTGCTTCCTGTTGACGGCACCATCACATCATACTCAATCTACTGACTCTTACCCCATTTGTCCCCAATAAGCACAGGGCAGCCAGCATGTAGCGTGTCTACGTCTCCTTGACCGTTTTTATGAAGATTCCACCAGAAGATGGCTGCTTTCTGTGAAATGAAAAACAGCATAAATCACTTTCAATAAGTCAGAAAAGCTATTTGGTCTAAGATAAGTCTGCAACTAACAATTATGTTCATTATAGATTAATAAGTATTTTCTTAATTAATTGATTCATCTTCTGGTCTATAAAATGTCAGAAAATGCCAATCACATTTTCCTAAAGCCATCAAATCTTTTGTTTTGTTTGACCAACCCTTCAAAAGATAGTTTACTATAATATAGGACACAGAAAAGCTGCAAATCCTCAACACTGTCGGTCGACTAATTCAGCTTTAATCTAAATATCTAGCTGAATTTCAAGCACAAGGCCTCCAAGTTACAATATTGAATTAGTTACTTGAGCCAGGAAGTCAGATCTCAATAAAGTGAAAGGGGGAAAGGTTAAACCCCGGGGGTGCCTGGTAAACTTTACACTGCAGCTCACTGATCAACCGAAAAACAGCTTCAACCTCCACTCAGGCTAAACCATACAATAGCAGTATCTATTGTTGTTGTGATCTGACCTTTTAGAATTTTGACAGCTGCCCCAGAGAATGTGAGTGAGGCGCTGACAGAAGTGAAAATAACCTAGCTAGAGGCAAAAAATGGCACAGACATAGACAAAAGAAAGAGGTTGCTTTAAGCTCATCTTAAAACATTCTCAGGGTGTTTACCTCCACGACGGGAACACTGAAGTTGGCATAGATGAAGGCTGTGGACCCACCTGCCTCGACAGAGCTGAGCTGTGGAAAAGGACATTCCTTCAGAGTTGTGTCTTGTGTTTATGTGCTCATGTTATGAAAAGCCTGTCTGTCTGCTGCACTGTTTTCAAAGCCTCACACTAAGCCATTCTTTTCTTTTATTTTATTTTATTTTATCAGTATTCACTTTTACTCAGATTTTCACATTGGATAATAATGATAATAACAATAATAACAACAATAATAATACTTTATATTAATAAAGGCTTCCTCAACTCTGTTAGTTAAACAATACAAATTGATAAAATGAACAGAACAAAAAGACAAATAGGATGTTTAAAGCAAAAATATCGATGTTTGCTCTAAAATGGAGGTCAGAGACAAAAATTATAGGTTGATCTAAGTTTGCTGTATGACATCATCTATAAAAGTGTAGTTTAGGTAGTGAGGTCAGGCCTAGTCTGAGTTTCTCAGGCAGGTTGTTCCAAAGTCTTGCAGCACTTGTGGCAAAGACCTGACCTCTGTGTTTTTAATTAAGGCTTTGGAAAACCAGGGACAGGGCTGCTATGTGGGTCATACAGAGTCATAAGATGGTTAGAGCAAGGCTTCACTCACATATATCATAAAGGTTGCCACTCGATTCCCAGTTTTCAGCTTGAACACAGGACTTGAAGGTGACTGGAACATTAGAAAGTTGATATATCATTATTCATATCATGTAAACACAGACAACATGCAAAGTCTTTAGTGATAAAATCAACTCGTCTCACAATCGACTTACTGTAGCATGGTCAAAGTGAGGCTCATAATGGCCACCAATACCATAATTCACCACTTGGAGGTACTCGCCATATGGATGCTTCACATTGAGACCAGTGAGCATGGAGATCTTTTGTTCCAGCTTCCCAACAGTGGACTGTGCTGAGCCCTTCAGCCATGCACTAGAAAAAAGACATATTGATACATGACACATTACAGTTGAAAAAGTAGATCTAACATCATTTGCCTGCTCTATTTTTGCAGCCATGGAAGATTAGGTGGCTCCAACAACTAGTTTGACTTAATTAATGATGATAAACGAAAGAATATACATAAACAAGCGTTATAAGTAATTTGCACCTCTTGCTGATGCGATAATCTGCTGTTGCTTGTTTCTCTCCAGCTGCCACCACAGACCGTCTCAACTTGACAGCAAAGACAGAAAACAGCATTTTATGTTTGTGATTGTTGGAGAAGAAAATCTTTGATGTCTAGCTGCAAAGCGCTGACAAAATGCATAAAAACAGGCACTAATCATATGTCCAAAATAAAAACTGTAGGCAGATAAAAATCAAGTATGTGAATTCCAAAAGATGACACAATGACTCACTGCAATTATTCATCTAATCTTGCATGACCAATCTTAGGGAGCAGGGGAGCGGGTAAAATGAAATCATAATTCTTGACTACAAAATAACACAAATCAAACAAAAATGTGCATATGAGCCTTTATCAGGTTTAGATACCCTACTTCTTTTACAGGTATTAGTTTTAAGTTTTATCTTATCTCCACTTGTCAGTGTGCTAACCCTCCACGGAGTCTGGAAGTGAGTCCTGGGAAGTCCAGATGTTTTGGACTTTGAGCCTCTGTGATTTATTTGGACTGCAGAATCGTCACACTGCATTCTGCTTATTTCAGACATGTTTTCCAGTTTTCAACAGGCACAATGTTCTAAGCAGAAAACTGGTAACACAATATTTCTTGCAGATTAAACCCTTGACGACTTCCTTACAGCCACGAGAGACATTACTTTATTCAACTCTTAAGGGCTTAAACAAACCATTTCAAAAGAGGAAAAATGGTCAAAAAACGTTTTATTTCAAACGTCAATTCATCACCATGACACCAATACGATGAAATACCTGTTAACTCCAAACAACAGAACTGTGTTATTGCTTCATGTTTAAATAAGGCTCTGGGATCCAGCATGAACAAAGCCATGTAAACCATTCTCATCGTTACCGAATGCCGCTCACTGCTCAATACTAATACCATACCCTGAGCCTGTTTTCAATAAACCCACAAGCTGACATAATGATGAAATAAATACTGGGGTTTCCATCTCAGCAAAGGATGGAAAACTCATTCAACAATGCCAAAACCTCACAGAAACTATAGGGCACGAATTTAGTTAGCCCACCAAATATTCCCTAAAGAAACAGAGTCAGCAGACTATGAGCAGATCTGGGAACAATGTGCTTTAGCTTTCCATTAAATGAGCAGAAAATTGTATGTTGCTTTCAGATAGATACTGAGGCAGTATGACAGTGGACTTCATATAACCAGTCCAGCAGGGTAATTTGGACAGTTTGAGGTACTCAGCTAAGTTTTCATAGTAATATATCCTTCATTTCTTTAAGGCTTGCTAAATATTTGGACACAGACCAACTCTTCCTCCATATTTCCAGGATTTCTGCAGTAGGAAAATGTACACAGTTTGGAATGGACAGATATTCAGACTTTATGACTGCTTCAAAGGTAGAGAGTCACCACTTCTTGTTCGTCACTCTTGTTTACCATATCGTACCGGTAAATCTGAATGAATTATACTTTGGTGCTCATGGTTCCCATAAAATAAACTGAACGACTGAATTGTAGAGAATCTATTCAATCTAACGATGTGTGGCATGTCCATATTGACAAAATTTTAACATTTATATTTGTATGCGCAATCTATAATTGAGACGTGCTGCGTTTAATTGTCAAAACGTGTAGCCACACCTTGCTAGTAACAGGGATAAGGGTCTAATTGGGACTCTGCTATGCTAATGAATGCATACTTACAATTTTTGTTTTGACAGGCACCTTTACTCTTAATACATTAAAAATAATTTGATTCAAGGCCTTGTAGCACAATGTTACCCCTTGCTAAAGGTAATTTTCCTTTTCAGTGCACTCAATGCAAGGACAAAAGTATAATATATGTTAGATATAAGTGATACCAGCAAAGCCAACATCAACAGAGGGTAGCTTTTTTAGTGGAAAGTCACAAAAACACAATTAGCCCTAAATAAAAACAATACCTCTGATATTGGTTAATTGTAGAATAAAATCAGTTTGAAAAGCCTTGATTCTTCAATGTACAAGGTGTTCACCTGGCCATAGCAAAATTATTTATTTTCTACCATGGTTTGTCTATTTGCAAACTTCGACAGAATCTCTTGAACTCTTGGTGTTACCAAAAAAAGACTTTGCAGCTTCCCTTTTTTGTGAGTCCCATGTGGAAGAAACAGCACCGCTCCTCTTATTGTTGAGAAAACTCTACAAAACATGGCTACCATTTGAAGACCTCATTGGATAAACAAAAAATAGTTTAGATTGTAAAACTGTGGCTCTTATTCTTAATTCCAAAAAAACTGACATATTGGAGACACGTTTTTATTACCATTATTGAGGAAAATAAGAAAACGGCACTTACTCCTGACTCGGCGAGCCCCTTGATGTCCTCAGCCTCTGTGTCAGTGATGAAGTTGTGGTACAGGACCACATACGGCTGCAAGCTCAGCACTTCACGTCTTGCTGGCAGCAGTATCAGTCCAGGATTGCCGTTAGTGAAGTAGTCGCAGAATAGTCTGGGGTTTTCAAATTGCGTTGGCTGCTAGGACAAACAAGCATGTGAAGGCCATTAACATGACCAAAACAAGAATTGCTTTTTTTTTTTATCTGCAAACATTTAGTCTGCATTACATTGTTATCTCCCCACAAACAACCAAATATGACTCTTATGGCCTATGAATCTTCAGTTAGAAACTCTCTTGATAGTTTTAAGAAGCAGCTCAAGACCTATTTTTATGCCTTTGCTTTTATCTGATTATATTTATTCTTTACCTTTTATCCATTTTATACTTTTATATTGTATTTATTTCATACTGTAGCCCTGGCTGCTTCCCTTTCCCAGTTTTTGTGTTTGTGGATTATGTACATGTTTTTTTTTTTACCTTTTAATGTCTGCTGATGAAGGCATGTGCTCAGTCCTAGTACTCCTGGACCTTAGCGCTGCTTTTGACACCACTGATCACAACATCATGTTAGACAGACTGAGGCGCTGGGTGGGAATCTCTGGTACTGCCCTAGAATGGTTTTCATCCTACCTGTCAAATAGGAAGTTTTGCGTGTCCGTAAACAACTATGTCTCTTTGTTCTGTCCAGTTAAATATGGTGTGCCTCAGGGGTCGGTCTTAGGACCCATTTTGTATTCCTTGGATCTGCTTCCCCTTGGACATATTATCCATAAACATGGCATTTCTTTTCATATTTATGCTGATGACACACAAATATACTTGCCCGTCAGATCCACAGACCCTGGAATGCTGAGTTCACTTAACAACTGCCTTTGTGAAGTTAAAAAATGGATGTCAAATAATTTCCTCCAGCTGAACTCAGACAGAACAGAAATCCTGGTCATCGGGTCCCAGCAGATGGCAAATCAAATACTGCCATCTGCTGGTTCCCTAGTAAATCACATTAAGCCTGTGGCAAAGAACCTTGGTGTTTGGTTTGATAGTAATTTAAATTTCGAGCAGCACACCACAAAGCTTGTTCAATCATGTTTTTATCAACTTAGAAATATAGCAAAAATTTGATCTATGTTAACTTTTAAGGACACCGAGACCATTTTACACGCCTTCATCTCATCACGCCTGGATTATTGCAACAGCCTTTTCACCTGTTTAACCCAAAAATCTATTGATCGACTCCAGACTGTCCAAAACTCAGCTGCCAGGCTTTTAACCAGAACAAAGAAATATGACCACATTACTCCTATTTAGCTTCATTACACTGGCTCCCAGTATGTTTTAGAATTGACTTTAAAATTCTATTGATCACTTTTAAAGCTCTTCATGGCCTCTCGCCTTGTTATATTTATGACCTTTTAGTCCCATACGCACCAGCGCGTACCTTGAGATCCTCGGGCAGAGGTCTGTTGTCTGTTCCAGAGTCTCGACTGAAAACTAAAGGGGACAGAGCGTTTGCTGTCAGGGCCCCGAGGCTCTGGAACAGCCTGCCCGAGGAAATCAGGTCGGCTGAGTCAGTGAACTCTTTTAAGTCTCTTCTTAAAACATATTTTTATAGGAGAGCCTTTCCTGATCTTATTTGACTTTATTTTATCCCTTTTATTTTATTGTATTTTACTAATTTTATATTTATCTTAAACATGTATTTTAGTCTTTTCAATGTTTTTCATGCTTTTAGCTTGTATTGTTTTTGTATTATTGTCTTTACACTTGTTAAAGCACTTTGTAACTTGTTTTTGAAAAGTGCTCTACAAATAAAGATTATTATTATTATTATTATTATTATTATGTTGCTGTATTATATGTTTTATTTATTTATTTATGTACTTATTTTTTACTTAAGTGCTCATGATGTAAAGCACTTTGAACTGCATTTTATGTATGAAAGGTGCTATGCAAATAAAGTATTTTTAGAAGAAAATATATTATTATTATCTTTATTAAATTTCGGATAAATGATGGAACCTGATTGGAAAATGATTTTCTCAAATCTGTGACAAACCACTTTGAGATTTATAAATGACAATGAAAAAGAGCCATTTTTTAGCTTTATTTTAGCCAAGGTAGCGGTGTGACTGTAGGAACGGCAATGTCGGTCAGCCCACAACTTTGGTTCAGACCTAAATATCTCAACATCTATTGCATAAATCAGTGATGAGATTTTGTACAGACATTCATGGTCCCCAGAGGATGAAGCCTACTGACTCTTAACTCTACTACTGACCCCCTTGTTTTGATGACATTCCCATCGGTTTCAGCTGTACATTGGTGCTAATTCTAAAATACTAGCATGCTGTCCTCTTCAACAGAGATGCTCACCAAAATAATAAATATTACACCTGTTAAACATCAGTCATTGTAAGCATGTTAGCATGCTGACTTTAGCATTTAGCCCAAATAACTGTTGTGCCTAAGAGCCACAAGCATGAATGTAGTCTCAAACTTCTGGAAATGCAGCAAATGCAACCACATACAAGATAAATAATGATTTTCTCAAAGCATTGTTGTACCCTATAACATTATACATCCAATGGCAGGACATAACTTACTGTAAATGACTAATGACTAACATACTCAAATGGACAATGACAATATTTGAAAGATTAATTTATGGGTATGTAATTTTTGTAATAGATGTGTTATTGTATACAGTTAAAAATACTCTGGTTGTTCTATTAACTTATCAGTGATATTTTCCTAATACACAGTATGTGTTCAGAATGATTCATTGTGATGTATACCTGAGAGCCTTGGGTCTGGCAGAGTCTCTCATAAGTGTCCCTGGTGCCTAAATATTTGGAGGTGGGTCTCCTCAGCCCATTGCCCCTCATTGATTTGTGTGGACTTGTAACCAGCAGCTTCTCGTATTTCTCAACATTCTGCAAAACTCTTCCATTCATTGGATCTGAGAAGAAACAAGTAAATAGAGCAGTCATACAATGATTCATACATCATAGGGAATGTTTCTGAATTACAGTACAGGCTTCAGTTTAGAAAATCAAGTCATGTTGTTCACTGAAGTAAAGAGGGGAAGTAAACTGGGACTGTTTATGCACCACAGACTGAATTAAAGGAAAGGGACAAGTGAAATGAAAAGAATTACCGTGATGCAGTAACTCCTGAGATAGACTGAGAGCATATGAGACGTTTCCTGTCTGAAACAATGAGAGGAATTTAGGGCAGTGCAATCCATGAGTCATCTTACAAATTTCCTAAACGTCATTCTACCAACTTTAAAGTGAGAAAAGGCCAGGTGATCCAGAGCATCTTCTAAAGTCCCTTCATTCTCAGGGCTCCACTCGCCTCCTGTTCCCCGGAAGAGACGCACCGACTCCTCCAACCACTGCACTGAGTGGTAGTAGTCGTCTTGCTCGTAGGCCACCTGTGTAAAATAACACTTTTAATTCCAACTATTTGGCAATTTAAATAGAATTTGTCTCTGATAACCAGCCAGTCATTCCAAAGATGGCTAAGTGTTGGCTCGGCTGTCGTGGCACTGGACTGAATGACCGAAAGTCAGCCGACTCTGAGCCGTATACATGCATGGCTGCCAGATTTGGCTTAGTTTTAGGGTTGTGGACTGAGTCAGGTTAGCTTTAAGCCACTGGCAGCAGCCAGAATCAGACCAGTTTCTTCAGCCAGTTCTATCACGTCATTCAACTGGCATAACTGTGTCACCATGGCATGCTGGATTTATGCTGCATTTGGGCCAAACCATTTTGGCTGCATCAACTTAATTTGAATGGAAATACAAAAATATAGCCTTGATGGCAGGTAAGAGAGATGCAGAAATGTGAAATACAGCAGATAATCAAGACAGAAAATATGTGACTTTAAAACCAGACAGTATCGTTCTGGATAAATCTTTTTTAACCTTGTTTGGACCTTTTTTATAAATATCTGTGATTGCTTCTGATGCTTTTTCTATGCGCTTGTGTGCAGCTGGCTGTCTGTTATACCCAGGTCTCTTTTGCAGAAGAGATATTGAGCTTAATGAGATTACCCGATCAAATAAACATTATAATGAACCAGCAAATATTTTGAACCTTTTACTTTAAACAAAGATGGAAATGATTCATCGATAATAAAAATAGTTGGATATTAATTTCCTTTCAATAAACTAGTCGATTGAGCCGACCTACATCTCATTTTTAGATTTTGGACATGTGAAACATATAATACCTTCTCAACCTGCTCCACTGTCATGCATTTTCTCTGCAGCATATAAATTTAAGAGATTATACCTGTCTGACATCTCAAGCAAGTACATTGTGGATAGAGCTAGTGCACACTGGTTACAGTCTCTGTCATTACTTAGTCTCAAACCCCTTTTTTAGTTGACTTGACTTGATTAAGTAGGTGCTGACTACAGGCCTGACAGCACCCACATCTAAACAGGGTGACATGAGGCTCCTCCGATTACAGATTTTATCCACAACCCCGCCAGAAAGCTCAGCAACAAAAATCCCAGTGTACCATTTAACCCCACAAACACACACACAATGTCACTACTTAACTCAACTAATCACACACACACACACACACACACACACACACACACACACACACACACACACACACACACACACACACACACACACACCATCTTATCAACCCTACCAGGGGTTTACACCCAGTTCACAACATTCGACCCCATAATTTGGGAGCTGTTACTCTTTAATGACCCAATGAATTCTTAAAGTTTATTTTCAGCATATCTAAGTGCTTTAAAATTCCTCCAAATGAAACTGACACGCTACAACCTTCTGTTAAACAACCCTGCAGCTTCTGAGGAGCGGTTTAACAGCCATATAAAAGCACATGCAGGCAACTCTTTTAATGACAACACCCTAAGCTAAGCATCTCTGTTTACACATTGTATAATGTACTCAACCTCAGTACAAGTGAAGGCAAGCTCTGCTATTTGTGCTGCGTGAGATAATGTCTTTTCCACACACAAGGATGTCTCTCCCACACAGTGCCCTGCCCTTATACATCACCACTGTACATAAACAGTGGAATTTATTGTGGGGAAACTCTATCATACTTGTATACCAGTATTTTCATCTTCACATTAAACAGATTCCCAGGCACGCTATGGGAAGAATTCCACTTTTTTCAGGCTGGCTGTTTAATTCCCACCTCACAATGACCTACAGGTTTGGAATAAAACTATTTTGCAGACCTTTGGAGTGGGATGTTAATCAGGGAGGGGCATTTTCACAGAAACATCTTCCAAATTTCTCTCCATTTCATTACTTTACAGTAGCACTTAGAGCTTATTTAACTCAGAAAGTTAAGCAGCAAGGATGACCAATTTGTTTCAACTCACACTCATGATGTTTCCCTGCTATATTTTAGGAAATACAGAGGTGAAAAATGAGCAGTGGTGTAAAGAAATATTTACTCAAGTGCTGTACAATTTTACTTGGAATGTACTATTTCCATGTTATGTTACTTTATACATCTACGTCACCACATTTCAGAGGGAAACATTTTCGTTTCTTTAGTTTAGTTACTTTAGTTCTAGTACTTGAAGATCAAACCTGTGCTTCCCAACCTTTTGACCCCTTATGAAACAGCACATGTCTGTGAGTTGTTAGTAGTTTCCCCTTTAAGCTTCTCAGATGGTTTCATTTAAATAACTGTTTGAGGCCAAAAGAGATAAAACTCTCCAATATTTCACAAAAAAAGCAAAAATAAGAGAAGACTCAAAGACTCATTAATCCTCATATTACCACTCAGATTTATCTTTTGATTCTTTGGAGTGGCACAACATCAAGGTATTCTCCAAACTTAACTTTATATAAAGTAGTTAAAACTAGCTCCACCTCAACCAGCTGCAACAGTAAAATACTATTTACAAATTGATGCATCAGTAAAAATCTTATAATGCAGTATATAATGGCATGTCAGTCACTGGGGAGTACTTTAAATTTTGACACTTTAAGTACACGTTGCTGATAATACTACAGTATTGGGGGGGCAGTAAAAAAAAGTACCTTTCCAACCAGAAAGCAGTCATCACCAGACAGTGGGACAGATACTGCAGGCAGATAGATATCAATAGGCTTGCCATTCGTGACTCTCTGGAAACGACCCCTTACGAGGCTTGCAACTTGGAGAGCATACACATCCTGCAGTCTCATCAGCCCCTTAGCGGCCCCCTGGAGGTCTTCTAGTTTGGGCAGACCGGCCTCTTCCTTCTCGTAACTGGACCTGAGGGCTGGACATAAGAGGGCCAAAAGGTGAACTGGGGCGGGGGGTTGGGTGTGTTTAGTTATCACCACCAGATGTGTCTGTAAAGAAAGCAATGAGCCAACCTTGTGTGTTCTCCAGGGCTTCGTTGCTGTAGACTACATTCAGCCACTCTGAATGCAGCCGCTTGATCAGGGTGAATGCCACCAGCGGGTTTGCCATTGCAGTCCCCGAGCCTTTGTACAGTTCAGTGTGCAGTTCTGATACTTTGGCATAAAAGCTGAGGGAAAGAACTGTTGTTACAAAAAGAAAGAACAGGCCAAGTGCTTAGACAGTTTCACATGTAGCAAGTGAGTCCTGGTATCCTTAAGCTGCTCTTGAAGAAGAAGAAAAAACAGTAGGCTAATAAAAACTAAAATGTTCTTCAGACCCTCTCAGGCAGAGCAAGGCTTTATTAAGTAGGGATTTTTGGACCAATTTCCTGCCCAAAACTGGGTTGTCATTGTGGTGGAAATAGTAAAAACAGATTGATTAAACCTGGTATAGACAGACAATACACTGGAAATAAACATTATTGCGTTACATGACAGCTATCTCAATGATATACTGTGTATACAACAATACAACATTACTCACTTTCCAACCTCACGCCACAAACAAAGCCACCACAGATAAGATACTGTTTTAAATGTCCAATGTTCCAAAGGGCAAATTCTTTTCATTTAGACACAGAAACTGTAAATTGTACACTTCTGGGAAATGACTTGACCAGTCTCCTTCCCCATCTGGCATCCTATTCCCAACATAATGAACATTTGTGACTGGAAGAAAGGGCACGTTATTTATGTAATTGTTCTTTTGTAAAGAAACGCCCTAAAGCAGAACTTTCCCTGTGCATTTCGCACAAGTTTGGAGAGTGAAGTCAAGTATCTTGACACCACGACGTCAACTAATAATAATGTCAGCAGTTTCATTCCATTCATGTATTAATTTCATCCAAATTAGGTGCATTTAACTGCAGGATTTCCTGGTGTGGCACTGAAAATGTGACCATAATTGAACTTCATCATGTGCTCTCATAATCAAGTCCAAAAACTTCCATTATTATTTACTCTCTGTGGAGGAGCTACAGGATTGGTCACTGGATGATATCAGCACAACATTCTTAATTTCTCTGCTTAAACTAAGACAGAGCTGTGACTTACAGCGCATTTTCCCTTTAACTCTCAGTTCAGAGGTGCAGTGTAGTTTTCAGGCTTTTGGAACAAAAAGCTGAGGAATATGCTAATTTAATTTCTAACATGCAGATGAGGGGGAAAAAAGCTTATCTCTTTTATCAGATCGTCCATCTCCACTGTTTCATCATGCATGTCACTCACCGTTGGATGTCCTCCAGTCTCTCTAACTCACGGTCAATGTAAGTTTTCAAGTAATCGATCAGCTTCCGTTCAACACTGATCGCCTGCTTTACGTTCAGCAGCGACGTGTACATTTCACCCAAAGACAGGGGAATCACAGCTACTGTCAGGAGACCCACTAAACTTAAGAAAACACATGTAGGATACTTCATCTCCAGGGCAGAAAATACACCTCTTCCCTTTCTGCAGATGAGCTCCTCTCTTACTGAACTTTGCTGAGGATCTTTAGAATTTGCAAACGTGCCTCTGAAGTCCACACGGGGGACTCTCCCTCATCTGCTCTGAGATCAGCCGTCAGGACAATTAGTTTCTCAGTACAGCGCGCACCCGGTACGTTTATTTGCACTATAATAACAAGAATACATAAAACTTTATGAGATTTGATTCTTGTAAATACATTATAGAAATTGATCATCATAGTATCATTTATTCACCACTTCCCTTTAACTTTGTTTTTCTGTCATTTGTATTACTTTAAACTGGGTGACTGAGGCAAATCATTTGCTCCCTGGAGTAACTGCGACACCTGCAGGTGAGTGCGTTGTACAATAACCAAACTGCAATTTTAAAACAGTAAATATAAAATATATTTGAGCATTGGAGGGATTGGTGTGGTGAATCTTAAAAAAATGAATTTAAGAGTGCATTTGGATTCTGAGCAAACACTTTGTGCAGTGTTTTGAATAATATATGTGATATCCAAACACAAGTGGTTTTGAGATGTTATGTGCTGTAAAGTAACAAAACAAACCAGTATGCAAGAAATTTACATGTGGCCACTTTAATATCCACCCCTAAATAAACACTTAATTATTTTATAATTAACTTAATAATAGGAATGCACAAAAAATGCAAATGAAAGTATGTAAATGATGTGGTCTCTCAATATCTGGTCAGTATACTGTTGCTTCCTTATGATGGGAAGGGTAAAATCTGATCAAAAATTAAATTGCTATCCTTATTTAGTTTAGGCTTAAATATCAGTAATATAGTCTAATCACAGTGGATTACAGAAGGCCAAAAGCATTAGTGTGCCTGCAGCCCTGCCACACAGGATACCTTAAATTCACCAGCACAATTGTGTAATCATTATTGATGCTGCTGGCACAGAAATAGGGTCACTGTCTGGTTTATGTAACAGCATTAGATCTATAACGCTAAATGATGCCAGTGTGTTCACAAAATTAAAGGGTCATAATTGCTTTCACCGGGCAGCAGTGGGTACCAGGGTTTAATCAATTCATAGTTAATTCTTGTTCAGATATTAGATTTAGTTGTTCTCTTATTTACACAATGTTGTGATATGTAGTGATGTAACATTATTGTACACTCCATTTATGAAGATAGTAAATCTTTTAACAGGGTTAAAGACTTTTTAAGACCTTTTTAATACCAAATAGAATGCAATTCAAGACATGTCTATCATTGCCCACTTTTGGGCAGATAGATTAACCAATTAAAAATGATTAATCCATTTAAGTTTTTGCAAAAATCACTCCCCACACTTACCCATTATGAGACAATGAGCTTCCTATCTACTGTATGTACCAGTATTGACAGTGTTTGCTTGAAGTCTGATGGTGCTGACTGAAACATCTAAAAGCTTCCTTTGTGCACAATCCACTGTCAAAATAATAATAAAAAAATAAAAAAAATGTGTAACATCTCCCAACATCCTGTAAAGTGATACAAAAACATTTCATACCAACATTACAACAAGCAGGCAAGAAAATATATTGTTAAATAAACTTAAGACTTTTTAATACCTTCTAAGGCCTTTTTTGTTGAGGAAACTGAACTCTCACTTTTCAAGACCTGCAGATACCCTGTTTAAACATCTCAAATAAACATTTTGACAGGACATTTGTGCATTACGTTGAAGAGCTCTGTCAAAACTATATCAACCACTTCAAGAAGTAGACACATTGTCCTGCAGCTTGCCTCTGACACGGGGTTTGACTTTATTTGAGCAGCAGAGGAATATTCTCCCGATGTAGCCCCTGAGACTCTGATCTCTAAAGCCGTAGATAAGTGGGCTGAGAAAGCGTGGAATTAGCATGAAACAGAAGTAATTAAAAAAGGCAACATCTTGTTGTAGCCAGTTGGCATGCAGCACTATGAGATTTTCAGTGATGGGGCTGGTGAAGGCCAACATGCACAGCAGCAGCTGAAAGCCGTGTAGCAGCACAGTGTGCATGGCTTTGCTCACAGACACTCTGTCTTGTCCCAGCTTCCTGGTTTCCAGCAGGATTCTCACATATGTAAAGAGGATGATAAAAGCCACTACTACAAAGAAGAGAACACTCACAGTAACTTTGAACAATGTCTGGATTGGAGATGAGCTGACAACAATAGTTTTGCAAAGCACAGGAGTAGAGAGAACATCCACAGCAGGATTATGTGCCCCGATGGAGTAGTCAATGATAGGGTAGATACAGCTGATGAGCCACAGGGACAGAATAATGATCCAGATGCGGTCTGAGCGCCAGGCAGCTGGGCGCTGCAGAGGATAGAAGATGGCAACATAACGCTCCAGTGACATGGTGGCCAGGATTAAGGGTGTGTTCTGGAAAGTGGCAGTGGAAATGAACAGCAGAGGAACACAGTAGATAATAGCAAATTTCACCTGGCCCATGGCAAAGAGGAAGAGCAGTACAGAGGACAAGAGCTGGAGGGTATCATTGATCAGCATGTAGGCAAACAGGATGTAACGTGAGGTGTCCAGGAACTGCCTGTGAGATGCAAAGATGTGCAGCATGACAATAATGCAGCAGAGGAAGACGCAGAAAAAGGGGATAACCACACACACCTTGATTATCATAGACAGGTTTTTGAGGGAAGTTGCATTTCCTGGAAATTCAGTCTGATTCTGCATTTTGCAACTGAGGACCGGAGCCAATCTTTTGGAGAAATATGGAGAAATCCACACTGAAATACATCCTCAAAAATACACACCGACAATTTAAGTAGGATTACAATAAGAACAGAATTTAGCTGAATGTGTATTTAATTTAATTATTATTTATATATTAATATTAAAGAACAATATATAAATGATTGAGAGAAAAAACTCATCCACACTTTAAACAGACTATAGATACAGAGCCAACATTCAGAATAAAAGAGCCATTCACTCACCTATGACTGTCTTCATCAACCAGAAGAGTCGACTGAGCTTTAGATTTTCGTTCTTCTTATAATAAAATGTGTCTTCAATGAACAACATGTCTGGGAGGTTCTTTGTTTTATCCAAAGAGTTCGGCCTCATTCAGATCTGTTTGACTCAAATCTCCAGAGATGCATTATTGTCATTCTACGTCATAAAGCATTCTGGGTCTCATTAAGAACAGATTTCAGTGGGAAGATGGGCTCGTGGGTAGATAATCCTTTTGGAAGGGAGCTATTGAACTATAGAAATTGTATTTATAAGTGTTTCACAACTGTCACAACGTATGGCATATAAATAACTTATTGAAAAGTTAAAATAACTTTTTGATCAAAGTGGGTTCTACAAAAAGATATTCAACTGACCTTTGGAAATTCAGCATTTGCAAACACTGAAGACTATATAAATAAAATAAAATTGAATTGAATTGATGTACATACATGTACGTACAGAGGACACTGTATATTATTTTAGATAAATTAAATTAAATTCAAAGAGTATTTGTCAGAACCATTACTGTATATGATCAGAACCCACAACAGAGGTAACGCAACAGAGAGGTATATAATTAATTTGGGGAGGTTTATTTATATAATGGTAGCTTGCTAACAAAGCAAATAAGGGTCAGTTATTGGTCAGTTATCTTAAGTTGGATGGATAGAATGTGGCCAATGTGAAGTTGGTAAGTTATGTGCAGATTTAAGAGTTTAAAACATTATAAAATGAACTACATCAGAATATAAAAAGTAAAAGCTCCTATGTTTTGTCAAAGATATCTATATTGTGTTGCAGAGATATCTACTGATGTTAGCATGCTAACCAGCTAGCCCTGGTCCATCAAGAGGCGAGTCCAAGTCCAAGTCAAGCTCAAGATATGTCTTAGTGTTTTTTGGTCTAATCATAAACTATTTTAGTCCAATCAAAATAAACTCACAAAATGTCAACATTTACTGGTGTAAATAGTCTAGGTTCTGTATTCCTGTCAAACTGGCCTCTGTTGGTCTTAGAGGCTGTGTTCGGTCCTGTTTCAGCTGTGTTCACTGGGCTGCTGAATCCGGTTCTGTTGCCCACTTGCACGGCTCCAGTTCTGGTGCCAATTCATAATTTTTACATCCCCCATGATCAAAAGTGGGCTTGTTTGGTGGAAAACTTTTTAAGTCACTTAACTGAGCTTTTGCCAGATGGAAAAGGGGGAGCTTTACTATTGATTTTTGGCACTGTGGTGATTCTGCTGAGTGTGCGCTTTCAAGTGAGCTGGGTCACTTGTTCCAGCTGTGTCTTGTTCATTGCAGTTTGTGAACCATTGAGCAAACTGTTTTGGCAGCATCCATCAATGCTTTTTACTTTAGTGTGACTGTGAAAATTGCAGTGGCTAAGGAGCTGCAGATGTTACTGTCAGTCTAAAGTCTACTTCAAGATGCGTCGACGACTGTAGGATTACCAAAAGAGGTCCTGGGCCCAATTAATGAAATGTGAAAAGTTTTCTATCTTATATTAGTAATAGGAATCACTATTGCTGTACTATAATACACAATGACTTTTAAGAAGGCATCCGGCTAAGCTACTATCCAGCTGAACACCCTACAATAAGAAGCCACAGCATCGCAGCTCTGCTACAAGTCTGCGCTGCACTGAGATTTTATGCTACTGTTTTTTTGTGTTGTTACTCTTGATGCTGAATTTTACCAGTAAAAGGTCCTTATAATTACTGAAATCTTGCAGAATGCAAATGTTTTTTTGGTGGAGTGAAGGGAGCTGAGCAGTTTGACACTGTTGCTTGGTCATCCATGTTTTTAATTTGAAAAACATCTTAATTTACCCACAATTCATTGCATTAATCCTACTTAAAGGGTTACTTTGTTATCCTGGACCTTATTTTCCCATGTTTGTGTGTGTATGTGACTAATTGGGACAACATTTATTGAAATTGGTCCAGTATTGAGTGAGATTGAGACAGGGCTGCAACATAATCCTTGCAAGCAATTGCCCCCCGTCAAAATACGCCCACTAAAGTGCTTGTTTTTGCCACTGACACAAAAAGTAGGACATTGTAGAAAAGATCCCTGCAGAGATAGACTTTTAGAAGAGTAAGATCCTTTGTTTAACCAGAAAAAATCTAATTCTTGTCAAGCCACCAGACTCCATTGATAAAAACAACAATTTTACCTCACAGCTTTAAGTTGCAGCCCTATCTTGCTGCTACCGAATGCAGAGATCTCATTCAATACATGGTTTCAAAAAATGTTCTCCCAGTTAGTCACATGACAAAAAATCATAGGTAAATAGGGTACAGGCTGAAAAATACCAAAGTTACCTTTTAAAATAGTTTAGAACTAGAAAGAATTTAGATGTCTATCTGAAGTCTGATTATTAGTTTCATTTAAGCCATAGTCACAGTCTATCTTTATAAAACTTGCCTCAGGAGATAATAAAGACTATATCATGTCAACTATCTGCATGTGCTCAAATTACTGTCAATAGACTGTTGATATATGGACTCAGCAATGTTGGTTAAGATAAAGTCCAGACACATAAACAACATAGGTTACTGTCAGATTCAAGAGGATCATGGTTTGAGTCAGGGTTAAAGGACATTGCTCTTAAGATGACTGTAAAAGTCTGTTTGGTTGGACATATGTTTCCAGAGAGAGGGGGGTACATTTTGTTGACAGTCGAAGCAAAGATCAGTACTGTATATTTGTGTTTGCTTGTTATCCTGGAATTATGCTTATTATTAAAACTTGTAAATTGCTCTGGATTAGAGAATCAAGAAAATGTGGAAAATAAAAAACTTTGGGGTGAAATTAAAATGACAAAAAAGAAAAACAGTTGAGTGGGATGCCAAATATTTGAAGCTTTATATCTCAAAACTCTACCAGAATGAACCTGAATCAATCATAAACAAAAACAATCATATACATTTCTATGTCAGTAACAATGGAGTACTGCAACCATAGGTTTGTATGTACTGTACAGTATGTGTAAGGCTGCTCAGATTGATGTCAGTAAAGAGTAGAGAGGTAACTTGCAAGTGTTTTTGAAGAAGATGATGAAACCTACAAAGAGATGTTTCTGTAGTTTAAACAATTAGTTTGAATGTGCAGCACTGGCATGTGGTAGACTACTGTGCGATATCTCCGGAGCACAGTTAGAAAGCAGGTCTCAAATCCCCTGTTCAGTAATTAACAGACTGGCTGATTATTAACGTAAAGCTCCTAAGTCTAATTGTGCAATCTTTTTCATTTATTTGGCAAACAAGTTGACTCTGTTGAGCAGCTCTCTGGGGCTCACCGGCTCTTTACGTAAATTCTGCGTCAGTAATCGGGACTGCAGGGGACTGGACCAAAATCTGTGTCCAAAACAAACGTTCTGCCCCAGCAGAACCACCTCAGCAACTTTACTATATCAACAACAAATTTAATAAGCAGGTGAAGGTATAGACCTAACAGTGTACCTAATATAAATAATATTTTTTCATCAATCAACATTTTTTTCTGACAAAGAAATCACAAATTACTCAGAAATACATTTATTTTGATCAATGACACAGTAAGGGGTATTTAAATAAAAGAGGAACAAAAAATATAAATGAATGAACTGTAATAAATAGAATAATAATAATAATAATAATTAATAGCAATTATTAATTAACAGCAGCAAATGAAAAATAAAATTTTAATTTTTCAAATAAATTAATCATAATCAGGTTGCAAACTTAATTTTACTAAGCTACCTACCTACATTTTCTTCTTGTTGTGTGCCAGGAAGAGGAGTTAAGTATTTTCAGTTTAAAGGGAACTTCAGGTCTTGTTCAGGATTTAGCTAGCCTTTGAGAATCAGACTTCACACATTCATTCTCAGTCATTTCTTTTACCCAAGCCAAAGAAGGCTTTTCATCTCAAGAAAAAAACCCTGAGGCCTTACATGAGAGGACTCAGACATCCTGGAGCAAGATTAAACATTATAGTTAAAAGTATCTGACTTGAATAAACAGAATAAAATCAGTCTGGGAGATGAGAAGAGTGGTTTACAGAAAACATGAGATAAGGAAAAGGCTGGTCAATAGCCAAGACAAAGCAAAAGATCCCTGACCAAATTAATATGTCATCTCACTTGTCCCCTCAGGATTGACTCCTGCCAAAGTCTTTGTATGATTAGGCTGCGACATTCTGAACACAAGTGCTAATTGCTCAATTGGCTACAGAAGTGCTAGCCAAGCCCCCTATTAATTAATAACGCCCATTGAGTATAAGCTCATGGCCATCTGCAAGGTCCACGTCTTGGTGTCAAGCATCAACAAAGCTTGTAATATAAACCCTCCCTGGGACTTGATTTAATATTGTGATACAGTTCGAACCCACACCAACAAACATTAAAGGTCCTTAATTTTTCAAAAAAAAAAAATTTTGTCCTCAAATCAAACTGGTCCTCTTTTTTATGCGTACACAAATAACAGCAAGGCAGAGAGAAAGAGAGACAAAGAGAGAGGGGAAAGAGGGAAAGCTGCACGTAGTTGCTTTATCAGTGGGCTTTTTTTCAGATAAAGCCAAATACGCACATTTGCTGGCACAGTCAACAGATCAATACCTTTTACGTAATAATATGTTGCCGGGGCCTTACAAATACCCACAGGACACGCCAGTTGGTCATCGTCCAGCAGACTGAAAGATTGCATGCAGCGAACAAGATTATTTCTCAGAATTTACAAAGACGGGGTAACAGTGAATGGACAGCAGATTAGTTTCAGTTGTTGAAAACAGAGAACCTACATTCAGCTCCTCATTTTAGATGTATCATATCAAATAGGATTCTTCAAGGGCAGAAGTTAATCTGCAAAATGCAAGCCGTTCGCCAGTGTTCAGTATGTACCAGCCGTGTTGCTGGAGGACTTCTGCGAAATCAGACGGACATTTCCCTGCTGCACACCAACAAGAGTGTGCTTAGGAGAGGAGCAGCCTGTATCCGTTTCCTAAGGTAGGTTATATGCAATGGCATATACTAAGCAGTTGGAACATAGCCTATAGAGCTGTTCCTCTTGACATTTTGGGACTGCCAGAATGTAGCCTGAGTTTCTAGAAAATGTATTATGTCAAATGCTATGCAATAGAAATGTAAGTTACAGTCAACATGTGTGTAAATGGCAATTAACGTAAGTTTCAGCAGCTTGTGTTTAAACATTTTCAACATTTCCATGCAGTTAGATTAATTCAGGTTTGACTTCTCATATCACCTGTAGATTTGGCTGGCAATGTTATAACTCACAATACTACAACTAAAATACCATCTATCACTGTAATAACGTGAGTATATTCTGTTCTATTTTTTCTAACGCAGGTCTGAGAGTGTCCTACTCAGCAGGAGGAAGCCTGGAGTTCAGAAGTTGGGAGAATGGACAGATACTTTGCACATGAGCATAGCATCTCTAAGTGTTGGCCATGGGCTTTCTGGTATACATTTTACACAGGTGGGTCTCCTACCAGAGACAGTATTACATACATTTATAACTAAGTACGCGCACCAGCCCAATGAACTGAAACTGCACAAATTGTTTGTCTCTTCGGATAAAGTTTGCTCTTGTTCTTCATATTTTGTACTTGGAAAAACTGAGGGAAGGAGTTAAAATACTGAATTTCCCTCTTTGTTTGCAGCAAGTGGAAAACCTCTCTCATGACTCCCTGATCAAAAGAGCAGCCTCAGTGGTTACAGACAGCTCAAGTACTTTCCTCTCCCAGACCACCTTGGCTGTCATAGATGCCATTACAGACTATTCGAAGGTAGTTTTTCATCTTATGCGAAAGAGTCACAGGAGTAAATCACAAAATCTGTTCTAGGCATTTATGGAGAACAGTAACATTGTGAAATTAACTGTCATCAATCATGTGTTATTAACATTATGTAAGGCAGATAAAAACTACTGTAACGTTATTATTTTAAAAATGACCCTGCACTGTCTCTGACTGTCTGTCCTCCCTCTGTTTACAAAAAGGCTGTGCACACACGCATCGCTGTCCAAAGGCGGTATTTAGCCTCACTGGGAAAGCTGACCCCAGCAGAGCGGGATTCATTCCTGGAAGTGATCAATAGCCAGCGTGCAGAGGTTAGTTTGTATTGTCCTCTCTGGACACAAATTGTTGAAATCAAACCTAAATGTACTCTAGCATTCAGTTTCCTGTTAAAATCAGCTTTTACTCTTTGCAAAACAGTAAAAAAAAATTTATTAAATTTATTATTTATTATATTGTTTGTCTTTTGTCTTTGTCCTAACAGATTAGTGACAGACTAGCTCAATGCAAACGCTTTGAATCAAGCTGGATCAACGCTGTCAACTTGTGTAAAATGGCAGCTGAGGTAGCATACACTTCAGGTTAGTAAAATGGGTACCCGAGTGCAGCTGTATTTCTAATGATTGAATAATGAATAGATTAAAATCCTATTTTCCTTCGGTCTGTGTTACATTTTGTTAAATGTACAGATCACATGCTCAATAGATCTTAATTTAAAACAAAATGGATTTAGTGGACAGGAGTGCCTTCTTTAGGTCCACATCTAATGTTGCAACTGAAATTTGACAGAATGCATGTTTGTGTCTGTGTGTTTCCAGGAGCCGAGCAGGCATCCATCGCAATGAGAACGAACATTCAGGTGGCCCAGTCACAGGTGGAGGAGGCACGGAAACTATCAATGGATGCAGATAAGAAGTTGGCGGAGACTAAAGTAGAAGAGATCCAAAGGATGGCAGAATATGCTTCCTTCCGAGCTGATAGTGAGGAGCATGAGGTGCATGAGGCTTATCTACGAGAAGACTAAGACAAATAGAAAGAGATATTGGAAAACAGTAAAAAACGAACAAAACAAAGAAAGCTTTCACCTTTGAAAGCTTTGACCTTTCTGTTTTATTCCCCTTTTTGAGCCTGTAAGATGTTTACATGTTTGCTTTACACAAAGAAAATTTAATTTGAAAAGGACTGAAATAAATTACCAATAATTGGTAATTCTTTACAATTGCATAATTTATTATTTAAGACTATTTTTCTATTAGTGAATGTCAACTGCTTTTGGAGCTTCTGGAAAGTGATTATCAAATCTCCAGTGTAGGGCAGTGGGGTTTATCTAACATCGGATCACAATGTTTATTGTATGTTTGGTTGTAACAAAGACACTTTTTATGAAACTGTTTGCTTCATTGTTTTTTCACTGTTCACATAATAGAAAAAATAAAACTCACTATTTGATTTAAGATCCAGTATGTGCTGATGTATGCTTTGAAAGGTAGCCTAAAGATAATGACGTATGATTGCAGCATTATCAGCTGCCTTTTATGTACATAAAGTGTAATCTATGACAAGCCGTGAACTATTAACCTTCAGATGAGGCAGGCCTTAAAAGGTGAAGGCAACTGAATGTTTCTTCAACTTCATTGATTTTGACATTCTCCACCAGAGAAAACGCAAACAGCCTCAGCTGACTAATCACAGTTCTTGCTGTCTCCTCGCTGTATCTCCATAGTTGGAGTATCCACACCCACTGCTCTACCTTATTGCTCTTATTGTTTTTAATCAAGGGTCAGCATTTAAATTCCCCTGCTTCTGCCTGCTCCCGCTTGGCACTGAACTAGAGCTCTATACTTAGCCTTGATAGTTCACTGAGCTGCTTCTTTTCCAGAGTTGCCCAGTGAAGATGCAGATCCACAGAAGCCTTTGAATCACTCTTAGTGTGACCGTTCACTTAGGACCAGGGCCGGTATTTATCAAGCTTCTCAAAGTGCAATTTTTGTCTTAAGAGCTGAGAATTCATGAAATTTACTCCTACTTTTAAACTTAAGAATAAAAGCAAGTTATCAAATTTCTCAAAGCTAAGAATCACTCTTACTCTCCCAGTTATTTAAGACAGCTCAAGAGGTCTCTCAAAGTGGTTAGGAGCTGTGATGGCGCTGTGGAGACATAGACGCATCTTTCAGGAGAGGAAGAATGTATGTGAATTATATTTAATGACGCGCAGTTAATAAGACTGGGTCGGTCAGGGAATGGGTGAGAGACGTCATCTCACCACTGACTTTACACAGTAATGCGTTTTCAGTTAAACGACAGCTCCACACAACAACACCCCCATAATCCGACAGAAGCAAACACAGTTCATGCAAATAGCCGGCAATACAGGAGCAGTAGGCGCATTTGATGGCGCTCATATAAAGATAAACTTTTTTATCTTTCATTTATTAATGTATTATCTCGAAAATTCTTTATTGTTAAACGTGTGTTGAATATAAACTCCACTTAGGAATTTCACCGTTCGATGTGAATTTATCTGAGAATATTCTTAAATAAGGAAATCTATTCAGTGATTGGTCCTTGGCGACATCGTCATCCAAAATCCTGTTTGCGGCACAGCAAAGTGTTGTAAATCAGCACTAAGACTGACACTTAAGATTTAGTCCTACACTTCACTCAAA